CATGGCTCAATACAAAGTCATAAAAGAATAAGATCTCCTGGTCTAATAAACACAAATATAATACATTCAGAAACAAAATACCTGGAACAAGTTATAAACCAAAATATTATTATGTCAATATTCACTCTAATTTATGTGTGTATTAATCAATTAAGCAGGATTATGTTCCTAGTGAAAGTCTAACTCGCATATTGAGTTAAAACAATGTCAAGGTCAATTTGCTAATCCGAGGTCACCTGGAAACCAAAATCCAAAGTTTACAGGTGTTCATGTTTAACAAATACGAATAATTTGTATCCATGTAATTATTTTATCATAAAAAACTAAACATAACTAAAATTATTCAACTAGAATAAATGGATAATTGATACAAATGAAATGAAAAAATATGAATAAAACAGAAGTTTTGAATAGAGTAAAACCATAAATTCCATTTGGAGGGAACTCAAGTTGAAAGAATGAACATTTCTTATAAAAGTTAAGATAATTGAAGTAATTATGTTAAAAAAATCACTAAAATGTTAACAGTCAAATGGATATTCACAATTATTAATTAAATCAGAATAAAAAATATACCCTCCCGGAATGGTCAAAATTAGGAAATCTAGAAAATCATGAAATCTAATTTGATCATGAGAATTTAATTTGGCATGCCCTCGGGGTAACAAGGCAAAATAAATAAAACTTCAACAAATCATTTCCAAACATGTTCGAATATTCAATCATTACTCATGGTAAATGCAAAGGAATTAATTTTGCGGTTTAAAGTGAATTTCTGGAACAATAGGAGCATTTTATCAATACAATGTATGTACTGTATTTGCCCCTAAGATAAAAGCTGACTATATTCTGCAATTCTAGTATTATTACAACTTTACTTAGTAAAACAAGTGTCAACAATAGACTCTTGTAAAAGATCTAGGGATGTGGAATCACGATGTGACGATACATATACATTCTCATACAGTATATATTATAAGGGTATTAAAATAAACCAACTTCAATTACAAGTGCAATATCTTAGTTTATTTCTATAGTATTTTCTATTGATATCAGAAGAAGATTAATAAATCTAAATATCTGCCTTCTACATCACATAAGAAATGTACATGTATTTTAAAAGATATTATTGTGATAGTCAAAACAGTATGGCTCTTCTGAAGCATGAAGTGTTAGGGGCTGGGCATGAAAAGTAATATATTTTAATAGTCAAGATGAGGAATATTCCTTGTCTTATAATTGCTATATTTAGACTATAATCACTAATATATCATACTCCAAATGACAGAATCGTGCCAAGTATTAAAGTCTCTTTAGACAATAAAACCGATTCTATAGCATATGCTCAACACCGTTCCCTCACCCAATTTATAAAAATATTAATTTAAAAAATTAATGTACCATTTTGTTGGAATCTCCCGAATCTTTCCTCAGGTATTTCTAATTAAAGGGACACCATTGTTTGTCATCCAGGTGCAAATAATTGAGCATTTCTCAACCAAAGAGCAAGACTATAATTTAATTATAACAATAGATAGAAGTAAATAAATCACAATACCTAGGAGGGGAGACAATAGAAAACAAAAATCTCTACTGAACAACCTTGCAGAAGATGCCATACTAAGTTCACAGAGGTCAGAATGCGATTTTATGAATAAGAATTAAAACATTGACACGATAACAACAAAAATGGTTAAACTAGTGATTTTACAATTAAGATTTTGTGACTGTAAAATGTTTATTGAATACGTGCCCATACAATCAAGAATCATACTCACTGCAAATGATACAGAAGCTGCACATTTCTTATTATTTTTGAATAAAAAGGCTGATTGTTTTCTTTATTTTTATTTTTATTTATTTATTTGCACACACTTTTACAGCAGTGGCACATGGGTCCTTAGGTCCCAGTGCGGCATATTACATATTAAAATTACATAGTATAACATTCAAATTATAAAACGATCAGTTCTAAAAGCATCAATCATGTATCTTATTTTTAATTTCATTATATATCTTTACTAAAAAACGCTTTGCGCATTGGTCAAATAAAATACCTTGTTCTTTGCCCCATGAGTCACTCACCCTATCTCCCAAAACCCAATTTGTTTTATGTTTTATTAATCTCAAATTGTAAGTGAAGAATAATAGGAATCTATTCCAAATCATAAATTCAAGATTTAGTAATTTATATGCTTTGAGTCACACCAGACAGGAAAATGAGAATCATTTATCTGTCATTTCATTAGATTGTAATCTAGCCATTCATTTGAATATATTTAATAATTGAATATGTGTTTCACCGATTTCTTGAACTCTTTTCCCTTCGTAATGCAAACTGCTATAAATAGATGGCATAAGTGGCATATGGTACAAGTTGTGTATGGTATAGTCTCTCAAAGCCCTTGTGCCCCTTCCCTCTCAAATATCCAAAACCCAATAAAAAGAGAGGTAGATAAGGAGGGTCTTAATGCAAGACTATGTACAGCATTGTACTGTATAATGGTAAGTTAATTCAGGATGATTTCAAAACTGTATGGATGTGCATACTACCAAATATTGCATGATGGTGAAGGGGTGTGAATCTCATACTCGCTTACCAGTTTGACTTCATACCTTGGTAATCAAAGATGGTGAATCTTGGAGACAATGGCTTTACATTATAATGGTTCTACACTACAATGGTTCTTCATAACAACGGTGCTACATAGGTAGCCTGACAGTTATCTCAGTGTACATAAAGGGACTTCATGGGCCTGCAAGGGAGCTTCCTTTCAATTTTAAAACCAGAACAACGGCAACGCCAAAGCGTAGCGAATCCCATCGAACAGAAATGGCTGGCATTTTTACAGATGAATAGCAAATATCATAAAACAACACACCAGAAAGGCCACCATTTTTAAAATGGTTGCTCACTAGCCAAGTTGTCATCAGAAGAAATAATATGCTTTTAAGTAGCCACCTCTAAATTTTTTGAAAAATCGCACACATACTTGTAAAATAACACACATAAAAATGGTGGCCATTTTTCAAAATGGCCGACTACTCCCCAAAGTTTTATTAGACAATATGCCATGCTTAAAGTATTCACATATCAAATATGAACAAAATCGCTCTACTACTTTTCGAGTTATAGTAAAATATGTTAAAAAGGCAGCCATTTTTCAAAATTCTTTTCAAAATGGCCGCCTTCTACCAAAAGTGTCATAGGACAGTGTGCCATGCTCATAGTAGTCACATACCAAATATGAACAAAATCGCTCCACGACTTTCGAGTTTCGAGTTATAGTAAAATACATTAAAATGGCGGCCATTTTTCAAATTTTTTTTCAAAATGGCCGCCTTCTACCAAAAGTGTCATAGGACAGTGTGCCATGCTTATAGTAGTCACATACCAAATATGAACAAAATCGCTCCACGACTTTTCGAGTTATAGTAAAATACGTTAAAATGGCGGCCATTTTTCAAAATGGCCGCCTTCTACGAAAAGTGTCTTTAGACAGTGTGCAATGCTTATAGTATTCACATACCAAATATGAACAAAATCGCTCCACTATTTTTTGAGTTACAGCAAAAATCGTAAAATGACGAGTAAAGGTCGCCATTTTTTAAGATGGCTGCCATGTGCTTCTTTAATATCTACATTTGTAGCATTATTAATGTCCTTTATAATTTTTTACATTTAAAACATATTGCTATTACAGTTTTACTTATTGCACCTAAATTACTGTAAAATCGGCACTAAAATGGCCGCCATTTTGAAATGAGCGGCCATTTTGAAAATCGGCTTTCGAGCAGAACTTCTACCCCCATAGGGTATATGTGTACAAAATATGAACAAAATCGGGCCAACGGTATTTGAGTTATTGCCCGGACGGACGGACAGACGGACGTACGTACGTACGGACTGACGGACGGACGTACGTACGGACGGACGGACGGAGGGACGGAGGCGTTCCCTATATCCCTCCGAACTTCGTTCGATGGGATAATAACTTGAAACCAAACCATAAATCTAATTTTTAAATGCTAAGGTTTAAATTCTATTCTATTCAAATTCTATCAGTGTTAAACTATTTATCCCATACTTGGATGTGTTCCAGGTACATAAAGCAGGTTTGTAAAAATTTATATTTTCATAATGTGGGCAGATATAGCTTTACATCTCGGCCTGAGTGGGCAGATATATTATATCTGCCCGCTAAGTCATAATTGCCATTTGACTGTTGATGCATTTTTCTGAACTCGGGCCAATTGAACTATGTGAAGAAGATGAGCAAGATTGGTATGGGATAAACAGATCATCCTATAGTTGGTTCAGGATATTGGGATCATCCCTTGGCCAATATAATATATCCACCCTTTGGAGCCATGGCTCTCAGGCAGATATGTTATATTGGTTTTGGGATAATCCCAATATCTTGAACCTCATATAGGATAATTTATATAAATCTGCTTTAAATGGGCTCATTAGCCTTTTGCAGATTATTAATGTGTCTGTTGGAGCATGACTGAACACCTCACAATTGTACTGCAGTTTTCTTTGGATGTAACTTATTTTGTGTATAAAAATCATAAAAGATGAATTGTGAGTTATAATTCGGTCTACTAAGTTTTAGATGTAAACAATTCTTAGAATTCTTTTCAAAATGTTCATTGGGCTCTTTGACCCTAGAACAGATACTCTCTACAGAGGTACACAAAATATTGTCATCATTTGAAGATGGCTTTTTAACAGTCACATATAATAGTCAGCAGTGGAAATGAAGCCATTTTGAAACCACCTAGTACACCATATTCTTTGACATATATTTCCAAAATGCATTAACTGATTTAAATCAGTTAAAATGGTATCGTGTCAATGCAATAATTAAAAGAATTCAAAGTGAGCTTGAACATGAAAATCATACTGGTATGCAGTTAAACTTTCATATAAAGAAAATCTGGTAACATATCCAAAATATAATAGTGGCTAATGTTTTGACACACCCATTCTTAACATTTTATCATCTCATGTTTTGCGACATCCTACATGTATTATCGTGCTGTTCTTGGTACTACTGACTAAAGCAAACGATTGGAAGTTGATGCTTTAAAGGTAACTCTAAAAAATAGCAATTAGATACTGATTTGCCACTGAATAACTCAGGTAAGATAAAAGAGACATAAAAATATTTGTTGGAGTACCTGGGACATTTTTAAAATTGGAGTCCTGATGATATTTTTGTGGTCCCAATATTTGATGCAAATCAGTCTAAAGTGAGTCGCTGAAACATTTTTGGAGTAAAAAAATTTGTCTGTAAATACAGTAAAACCTGTGCATATTGAACATGCCATCACTATAATACTGCTACTCTCTCATGGGCTTTTTGTTTAATATGTTTTATAATACTTTTAGGTCCTTTGGCCCTTATGCTTACATACTGACAGTGTAGCCATTTCTAAGCCAAATGATGGAATCAGCAGAGATATGTCTAAACAAATTTATTATTGCAGATGCAAAGAAAGATTGAATCCATGTTAATCCAAATGGCAGTAATGCTAACTCTGCTACATCTGAGTATGAGTGCAAAGAACTGTTGTAAAGACATCAAAAGCATAAAATCTGACATCGAAACATTGAAAAAGTCAGTTCAATGTCAAAGCAGTTGTCCAACATACTTCACAAGGCACCTGGACTCTTGTTATTTGTTTGTAACCATGCCAAATGCAGCAGCAACGTGGTCTGACGCCAGTTACTATTGTTCAACACATAATGCACATCTTGTTGCCATAGAGACAGAGGCCGAACATACCTACATTGTTGGAAAGCTTCATTCTGATGGCAAAAGTGGACTGTATTTTTGGACAGGTAAATATAATCTCAGAAGCATATCATCAATTAAAAATTTTAAACTCTCTTTTAAAAAGCTGAGAATATTTTTGTGTACTATATCATCTTTATTGTTTATGTTTATGTAAAGATGTTTAGCAAAGAATGGGTATCGATATGGCGAACTTTTTGAACACACTTTTCTCTTAAACCGGTCACCAAATATTTCTGAAAATCTTACAAATTGTCAATTTAATGGCCATCTTTTGAATGGTAACAATATAATTTGAAATAGATATACATACTTACATCTATATTGTTTAAAAAACACATCAAACACTTGTTTTGTTCTTGGTATCATGTTTCTAGAGTGAAATGAAACATCTTTCCGAACCTCATTGGAACAAAACGACATAAACACAACATGTTTAGGTCTCTCAATATTGTAATTGTACAAAGGAAATTTTGGTTGATTTAAAAAAAGTATCTTGTTAATGAAATAAAAGGTTTTTCTTGATTTTTATCTATTTTGGGGGGATTTTGTTTTAATTTTTTGAATACTTTTTTAAAATCAATCAAAAATTCCTTTGTATAACTATAATATTGAGAGGTCTAAAAACATGTTGTATATGCTATTTTGTTCCAACAAGGTTCGGAAAGACATTTTAGTTCATTCTCAAGAATTGGTAGAAAGGAGCAAAAACAATTGCACTAAAAAAACAAAAAGTGTTAACAAAAACAGTTATATAAAAGATTTCTAAATATTTTTTGCATTAATTTATTGTCAATCAGTCAACATTACATAAAATACCATGTTCTTTTACAGAATGTTTTCAATGATTGGTTTAAGAGAAAAACATTGTTGAATTCAGATCTCCATATCGATACCAATCCTTTCACAAGAAGATATATTCATGCAGAAATAGTTATGCATGTGCCTTACAAATCACATGCAGTCTTGATCAGAATCAAATCTACACATGGATATCCTAATCCTTTGATATCTAAGAAAAATCATTTCACCTGCATTTCTCTGATTAACTTTGAAGGCATTTGCTTGTACATGTATTTTGATTTTCTCACAAATAGGTGGTAATGATTTGACAGGAGAATGGCAATGGAGTGGAGGACCATGCTTTGAGACAAAACCAATGGAGTTTACAAAGTGGCATCCAGGGCAACCTGATGAGGCTTCTGGAAATGAGAATTGTATGGATCTTCATGCAAAATGGTCTCTAAATTGGAATGATTTTAACTGTGATCACAAAATACAGTCAATTTGTGAGATAAATCTCATATAACATTCAATTCAAATATAAAGGCCATTTTGTTGATGCTTTGCAAAGAAGCCTGGTGGAGTTGATAAAAACCATGGGTACATTCTACATGTACCGTATTTGTTTTTCATTGAATGTCTTACACTAATATGCAACTCAAAGAGAATGTCTAAAAGTAAACAACCCTATACGGATATACATGTATACAGGGTGGTCCAAAAAATGGGACACTCGGATTTCAAAAATAGATATTGATTTTCTTGATGAAAACATGTCATTTTATATACCAGTGTACAGGGAATTTACTTATCTTCAATTTGGTATATCATAAGTTCAAATTTATAATAATGTCTGTCAACCAGCATCCATAATATAAATGATGTCATATTCGTTTCAAAGCAGGTTTCTCAAAACTTGCAAAAACCAAGTTTTTGTCAACTTTATTTACATAAACAATATATAATATGTCACATTTTCATGAAAAAATCAATATCTATTTTTGAAATCAAAGTGTCCCATTTACCACCCTGTATATATTTTCCTAGCTATTTTTGAGTAAAATGAAAATGTACATTGTGACTTTATATACATAGTTTCAAATACTACCGTACCAGCAACGTGACAATTTGAAGATGTTACTATAGTTGTTAAAAAACAAACATGGATAATGTAATGTAAACACAACAAAAAAAGGAATCATTATAATCTAACAATGCTTTTACTTATCATGCCTCATATTAGATTAATCAGTGAAATACGGAGATTTGTGCATAATCAAAACAAAGAATGCCTAATGCTATATTAAAAAAAAACAATCCAGAAAAGTATACTGAGAGCAAAAATTGCTAAATGTGGACCAAAAATGTAAACACTTCATTTTGCTATGACCTTTAATAATGCATTTTTCTTTTTTTGTGATTGATGCAGCAATCATGGTATATGTACACTATAAATACATTATATGATTGAGAGATGAAATACTTAAATAAATACCTGATATACAATACTACGATATAATGCATCATAATAAAATAATGTATCACTAGATGTATAAGATTGCAAGCAATCGTATAAAGATTGCAAGCAATCTTACGGAGGCCCCGTAGGCTTTTTTGAACATTTAAAGGTCAGCCAAAGGTCAAATCTTAAAAACAAGGTCATATATGAACTCCAGGCATCTTGTAGATGATTTTAAAAAAAAAAGTTTGGTCAATTTGAAGCAATGTGAAATTTGACCTTGAAAAATTTCAACATTAGACCTTTTTCAGTTTTTGAGGTCCAATATCTCAAAACTGGTGCAGAATTTTAATAGATAATCAATTGTTATTATGTGTAAAAGCTTTAGAGGAATATATATCCTGACTTTAATTCAAAAATATTGATTTGTAGTCACAAACTTTGAGAAACTTAGAAAACACAGTTTGTGATCTTGTCTGATGACCTTGACCTTTGACTTTGAAAATTTTACTTTTTTAGACCTCAGTATATCTTTTCTGATTGAATAAACCTAAATTTGAATCCAGAAAATCAATTTGAAAAATCAACTTTTTTGACCTTTCGAAGGTCACTGAAGGTCAACTAAAGCTCATAGGTCAAAACTAAGGTCAGATTTGAGTTCCTGAGATCTTGTAGATGCTTTTAAAAATAAGATTTGGTCAATTTGGAGCAAGTTGAAATTTGACCTTCAAAAATTTCGAAATTTGACCTTTTTTTCAGTTTTTGAGTTCTAATATCTCAAAACTGGAGCAAAATTTTAATAAATAGTCAAGTGCTAATATGTGTAGAACCTTTAGAGGAATATATATTCTGACTTTCAGTAAAAAAAATTGATTTGTAGTCTCCAATTTTGAGAAACTTAGAAAACACAGTTTGTGATTTCGTTTGATGACCTTGACCTTTGACCTTGCAAATTTTACTTTTTTAGACCTCAGTGGGTCTTTTGTGAATAAATATACCTAAATTTGAATCCAGAAATCGAGTTGAAAAATCAACTTTTTTGACCTTTCGGAGGTCACTGAAGGTCAACCAAAGGTCAAAGGTCAAAAGTAAGGTCAGATTTGGAATCCTGAGAACTTGTAGATGAGTTTTAAAAAAAATTTGGTCAATTTGAAGCAAGTTGAAATTTAGTCTTGAAAAGTTTCGAAATTTGACCTTTTTTCAGTTTTTGAGTTCTAATATCTCAAAACTGGTACACAATTTTAATAAATAGTCAATTGCTAATATGTGTAGAACCTATAGAGGAATATATATCCTGACTTTCATGAAAAAATATTGATTTGTAGTCACCAAAACTTAGAAACTTAGAAAACACAGTTTGTGATTTAGTTTGATGACCTTGACCTTTGACCTTGCAAATTTTACTTTTTTAGACCTCAGTGGGTCTTTTGTGATCAAATGTACCTAAATTTGAATCCAGAAAATCAATTTGAAAAATCAACTTTTTTGACCTTTCGGAGGTCACTGAAGGTCAACCAAAGGTCAAAGGTCAAAAGTAAGGTCAGATTTGGAATCCTGAGAACTTGTAGATGAGTTTTAAAAAAAAAATTTGGTCAATTTGAAGCAAGTTGAAATTTAGTCTTGAAAAGTTTCGAAATTTGACCTTTTTTCAGTTTTTGAGTTCTAATATCTCAAAACTGGTACACAATTTTAATAAATAGTCAATTGCTAATATGTGTAGAACCTATAGAGGAATATATATCCTGACTTTCATGAAAAAATATTGATTTGTAGTCACCAAAACTTAGAAACTTAGAAAACACAGTTTGTGATTTAGTTTGATGACCTTGACCTTTGACCTTGCAAATTTTACTTTTTTAGACCTCAGTGGGTCTTTTGTGATCAAATGTACCTAAATTTGAATCCAGAAAATCAATTTGAAAAATCAACTTTTTTGACCTTTCGAAGGTCACTGAAGGTCAAAGGTCAAAACTAAGGTCAGATTTGAGTTCCTGAGAACTTGTAGATGATTTTAAAAAAAAAATTTGGTCAATTTGAAGCAAATTGAAAAATGACAAATTTTTACCGTTTTTTGACGTCAATTATCTCAAAAACGGTAAAAAATTAACGCGAACATATAGTGAGTAATTTGTAGGGAATGCTTATATCTAGTTACATTTTAATTCATCGCAAGAAATAATGAAGTATGAGGACGAAATCTGAGAAACTTAGAAAAAACTTTGATTTGACCTAGATTTTGACCTTTGACCTTGACCTAGATAAAAATTCCTTTCCCGGTAAGTTCAACCTAGGTCCCTAGTAGGTTCATATAGTAGATAGTTGAAATCTAGTTAGAAGTAGGAGAAAAAGTGCAGAGAAGAATAAATAATAATAAAGAATAATAACTAGAGGTTTAAGATTGCAAGCAATCTTAAGGAGGCCCTGTAGGCGTTTTTGGCAATTTCAAGGTCAACCAAAGGTCAAATCTCAAATCTAGGGTCATATATTAACACCAGGCAACTTGTAGATGATTTTAAAAAAAAAGTTTGGTCAATTTGAAAAATCAACTTTTTTTTACCTTCCGAAGGTCACTGAAGGTCAACCAAAGGTCAAAGGTCAAAAGTAAGGTCAGATTTGGATTCCTGAGATCTTGTAGATGCTTTTTAAAAAAAAGTTTGGTCAATTTAGAGCAAGTTGAAATTTAGTCTTGCAAAGTTTCGAAATTTGACCTTTTTTCAGTTTTTGAGTTCTAATATCTCAAAACTGGTACACAATTTTAATAAATAGTCAATTGCTAATATGTGTAAAACCTATAGAGGAATATATATCCTGACTTTCATGAAAAAATATTGATTTGTAGTCACCAAAACTTAGAAACTTGGAAAACACAGTTTGTGATTTGGTTTGATGACCTTGACCTTTGACCTTGCAAATTTTACTTTTTTAGACCTCAGTGGGTCCTTTGTGATCAAATATACCTAAATTTGAATCCAGAAAATCAATTGTAAAAATCAGTTTTTTTTACCTTTCGAAGGTCACCGAAGGTCAACCAAAGGTCGGAGGTCAAAAGTAAGGACATATTTGAGTTCCTGAGATCTTGTAGATGATTTTTAAAAAAAATTCTGGTTCATTTGAAGCAAGTTGAAAAATGACCGATTTTTGCCGTTTTTTGACGTCAAATATCTCAAAAACGGTAAAAAATTAACGCGTACATATAGTGAGCAATTTGTAGAGAATGCTTATATCTAGTTACATTTTAATTCATCGCAAGAAATAATAAAGTATGAGGACGAAATCTGAGAAACTTAAAAAAAACTTTGATTTGACCTAGATTTTGACCTTTGACCTTGACCTAGATAAAAAGTTCTTTCCCCCAAGTTCAGCCAAGGTCCCTGGAAGGTGCATGTAGGAGATGGTTGAAAGGTAGTTGGAAGTAGGAGAAAAGGGTTTAGGAAGAATAAAGAATAATAATAATAATATCTATAAAATTAATAGGAGGCCCCCCGTTGGGGCCTCCTAATAAATAATATCTATAAAATCTATAGGAGGCCCCCCGTTGGGGCCTCCTAATAATACAAAAATGGAGATTCTGTTTCATGGGTATACTACATGGTAAAATTCATGTGTTTTCTGTTTAGAATGTATTTTACTCTAGGCTCTATTTTATTGCTAGTCTCTTCTACTATTGCGGAATGCTTGAATGTAAAATCCTTTTAAATGAGACATAAGATGAATGATATGCAGTATAACCTATAATAAAAATTGTTTGTCTCAAAATATACCCAACATGCACAAAAAATCAGATATTCATACCAAGAAAGGATGAGGAGATGATCTCCCAACTAATCACATTTAAAGGTATCTATTATATTATTGCATCGAGAAAATTACAGGGTTGTAGTTTCAATATACACCATTTGACAGGCAGAGTACATGAACTTTTGGGACACCCTGTATTTTTCTCTTTTTCCTCCTGAGCAATAACAAGACCTTACAATATTTACAAAAAAATCTATTTCTATATGAAAAGGAATGGTATTCTTACCTTATTCAATAAACGGCTTCCAAATAAAGATGGCCGGCTCTCTCTGTGGCGGTGAAAGTTTAAAGTAACAAGAGCATCAACTCCTATAGATGCGTAATTATTCATCATCTTCATCTGAAATAATACAAAATGTACATGTACTCTTATAGCGCAGTCAGATGTCCCTTTGGTAGTTCGACTTTTTCAGGAAAGCAACAAACTTGGCACAATTGTATGAACATATGATCTGAATGAAAAATGATTTCGGGGCAAGTGATTCGGGGTGGTCTTCATGGATTGTAAGCCTCTGACCCCCACCCCTATCAGGCGGGGAGGGGGTACATTATAATAAAATAAATAAAAATAGTTGTAATGTATATTTCTTTAAATGACTTCATTTGGTGATTGCTTTGAGCCTTGAAATTGAGAAAAAACTATTTTAGAAGTGGTGTTTAGGAAGGAAAATACATTTTAACCCAATTATCTAGCGTGAATTCATCTTTCAAAGGGTCAAATATGGGACATCAAGTACTGTATTTCAAGAATGTGATGTCTGATCATCCTGAAAAAATTCATACTAATAGAGATATAGGTGTTAATCACTCATATGATATATGGCTTGTGTAGCTCATGTAATTTTTGAGAAATAAATTATCGAAATATGGATATTTAAGCCCTTGCAGCCTAGGGGTGACCTTATTTTACCTTAATAATTTTTTAGATACGCAATGTTTGGGTCTCATATGAATTCTAAATGTTGCATTAAGTATTGTTTTGTCATATTATTCCTAATTAAATGTAAGAAAATTATTGGAAATTAAAAAAAAATCAAATTTTCATTTTCGGTTCTAAAGGGCCAGGGGTAACCATATTTTACCCTAATAATTTCCCAGATATGTAATATATGCATCTCAAATTAGCTCAAGATGTTGCATATAGTTCTGTTTTATCATACTTCTTCCAATAAGATGTAGAAAATGATCGGATATATCTAAAAAATCAAAATTTTCACTTAAGCTCTTGATGGCCCTGGGGTAACCTTATTTTACCTTAATAATTTTCTAAATATGAGACATAGTCACCTCAAATGAGCTTAAGATGGTATATTTAGTCCTGTTTTATCATATCATTCCCAAGGAGTGAAAAAATGATTGGAAATTATAAGAAAATGACATTTTCATATTACACCCCCAATCCGCAACATCTTCTTGCAGCGCTGTAAACAGTGCTGAACAGTGCAGTCAGAGTACTGCACTATATAGCAATGTACAATGCTATTCTAACACCATCTGTTTTGGACAGCGTAGTACAGTACTGTTTTTACAGCTCAGTACTGTTTTAGAAAACAGCTGTGTTCAGTACTGTTTTTACAGCACTGTTTTATGAAACCATGCTGTTTGATGCAGTTTGAGATTGGTAGTGTAGTTTATGTGGTCGCCGGGTTGGCCTAGTGGTTAAGGCATTGGTCTGAAAAGCAGGAAGTCTGGCTTAAAGCTGAAAAGTAGAGGTCTTGGGTTCAAACCCAGGTCACAGCACTTCTTGTGATTTGTCTTTGACCTATGACTGCTGACCTATACCGGCGATTACTAGAGTGCTGCTAACTCGATAAAAGGCTGGCGCTGGCTAGAATTGTCTATGGTTCTAGCCAGGATAAAGATACCAGTTCTTCAACTCGACAATGGGAAGAACTGCTCTACCTTAGTGACTAATATGTCATGATATGACATCTAAAGAGTCAATAAAAGATATAATAAAAATATGATAGGTCAGGAATGACCCAATTTTACCTTAAAAATTTAAACAAAGATATATCATATTGTCTACTCAAATGAGCTCGAAATAGTGAATATAGTCTAGTTTTGTCATGTTATTGCTACTGAGATATACAATAATGATTAACAATTATAAAAAAATGAACCTCAACAGCCATTTATTCCTTTTTAGTACCATGGGCTCTGCGCTGATAGAGCCCATTTTAGTACCAATGGCAATACTATCTAGTTTTATAGAACATTTTCTAAGATATGAAAATGTTTGATAAGTCCAGTTCATACTCACACGAGTAGTAGCATTGTTAAGATTCTGTATATTATCATTTGAGTATATAATCCAAATCTATAAAACCTAATCAAAGGAGTCACAATTTATGGATTCTGACAGTCTCTCCTACAGCTACATAGCTCAGAGCAAATCAGATCTGCTTTCAAACATTTGCATCTGTTCTCTTGACACAGGTATCTACCCCATGACCTACATTTTATGTTGTGGCCTCAGTATCAGCAGTGGGAGTAGTCCAGCCACATTCATGTGGTGATAGAAACTGTGGGTAAGAATGCATCAGAATGAATAAGGACTCTAGTCTTCTAATTTTAGGGTATCAAAAAAGATTTAAAGCTTAAGAACACTTGCGTAACCTCTGGGTACACCTTCTATTCCTGCAAATCAGTTGACTAAGAGTAGTAGCAGAATGCATCTGGCGATTGTATGAAAAATGGTAAGGGCTAAACTTCGTTCATTGCCAAGTGGCCTTGAAATATCTAAGGCAGGTCGTACATACTGGAGGAATTTCCCCTCACCATAGGCCATATGCAATCCAAATTGACATTTTCAGCACAAGTTACTGCCAGTTTAAACCACATCAAAATCAACTGTATTGACTATGATTCTTATTAGGTCATGACAGAAGCAGTCTTTGGCATGCTTCTTCATATGAGCGAATGGTGATGGCAGATACTTCACTATCTGGCTAAGATATTGCATTACCTCATTGTGAGGTCACTATCTTCTTGCCATCTTCCTCCAGGATTTCAGTTTTGATGCCTGGAAGGAAAACAGCTCCCTCTTGTTCCAACTATCTTAGGAAATCTTGCCAATTCCACAGAAGAAAATTAGTAGGATATACTTTCCTCACTGTTCCAGTTTTGTGCTGTTTGTATCTATGCTCATTAACATCAAAGTTGAATGACTAAGCTACATAGTAGATGCCAAAATAATAGACAGGGCATGTATAGTTAAACATGCTAACAGTGAAATATAAAGAAAATTTGGTGATTATGCAAATATGATATTACCCACGTAAAAGTCTACAAATAGTTCATTGCCTTGATGTCAGCTGGGATGTTTACAAGGACACTAGCTTAAAGGGGCAACAAGGTCTGTAGAAGATTCAATTTTTTACTTTTTCTGAGCTATAAGGGCAATATTTGGCTTTGACATACCTATTTTCTTAAAATGTATGGATAAACTATCAATTTCAGCATTAAGAAGTGTAAATTCAGTTCAAAGCTTCTATAAAGGGAGTCCCACTTATAGGTTTTTAAGATCCAAAACATTTCAAGAGGAATCAGCTGAAATAATGTTCATCCAGGGGGTTTCTTTGGAAAAAAATAAACATATATGTTAGTCTTGATGAAATATCAAAACTTGAATATATTTTGACACTGGTCCATGATCGTTGAATGGCCCCTTTGCACTAATTGTTGCACCTTTAAAACAGCACTAGAGAGACTTGTGGAACTGGAACAAGGATAGTCTAAAAACCTGAAACCCTTGAAATGGATGGAAAGAAGATAGTGACCACATAAATTAAGGAGGCAATGGAATGTTTTAGCCCAACAGTGAGGTTCTGCCATCACCCTTGCTCTTATAAGAAGAAGCAGATTCAAGGATATTTCTCAATATTTTCAGTTAAACTGCTTCAATCATGGCCTTCAAGAGAAAGAATAATACTTCTTACATTTAATTCTGATGTGATTATCCTGGCATATATGTGATGTTAAAAACTGAAAAAGTCAATTTGGATAGCATATGGTAAGGGAGAAAACATATCAATATCTACCTGCCAATGACCAAAGTTTAATCCTCCCCATTTCTCATACAATCATTGGATGTGATGTTACATCTGTATTCTACTGCTATGGAAAAATGGAATAAATGGATTGAGATTTAAATGTGTCACTGAATTTTCTAATTGTTGTTAATCATTATCTCAGTAGGAATAAAGTGAAAAACAGACTATTTTCCCCATTTTGAGATCATTTTATCTTGAAAATTATTGTGATAACATTTGGCATTCTTGTGCCCAATCATTGACTGTCATTATTCACTGACAGAATCCTTGACAGAAGCAGCTCACATTTACCACTTGTGCACGCATTTACCACTTGTTCCTTCAAGCTCACTGATTGGCTGAGAATAGGTCAGCATGGTTTATTGCAGCTTGGGTCATAAATGCTTTAAGACCCAAGCTGCCAATGGCATCGGTCATGGGGACGGGGCTGCTAAACTCACTCCATTCTTTGCTTCTATATTATGGTAATATATGATAAAATCACCCCTGACCTGTCAAAAGCTAAAAATGTAATTTTTCAAATTTCCATTATTTTTTACATCTCCTAAGGAATATTATGACAAAACAAGAGTATATGACACAATTCTAAGCTCATTTGAGATGCATACGTCTCATAATTAAGAAAAGTTCAAGGTTAAATAAGCCCCCCCCCCAGGCCATCATAAGCTAAAATGAAAATTTCAAATTTTAAGAAATGTCCAATCATTTTCTACATCTTATTGGAGGTATAATGATTAAACAGAACTATATGCACCATCTTGAGCTAATTTGGGATACATATATTACAAACCTTGAAAGTTATTAAGGTAAAATATGGTTACCCCTGGTCCTTCAGAAGCGATACTAAATTTTTTTTTTTTTTTTGAAAAGTTCCAATCATTTTTCAATCCAATTAGGAATAATATGACAAAATAAGACTCAATGCACCATTTTGAGCTCATATGAGACCCATACATTGCATATCTTAAAAATTATTAAGGTAGAATAAGGTTATCCCTAGGCCGCAAGTGCTTAAAAATTCAAATTTCGATAATTTTTATCTCAAAAAATACATGAGCTACCCAAGCCATATTCTATATTTGTGATGAACACTTATACCCCTATTAGAATGAATTTTTCCAAGATGATCAGACATCACATTCTTGAAATACAGTACTTGATGTCCCATATTTGACCCTTTAAAAGATGAATTCACGCTAGATAATTGGGTCAAAATGCATTTTCCACACTAAACACCACATCTACAATCCGTTTGTCTCAATTTCAAGGCTCAGAGCAATCACCAAATGGAGTCATTTAAAAATTTTTACTTCACAACCATTTTTATTTATTTTTTATAATGTACCCCCTCCCCGCCTGATAGGGGTTGGGGTCGGAGACTAAAAAATCCATGAAGACCACTCCGGATCACTTGCCCCGAAATCATTTTCCACTCAGATCATGTGTTTCTACAACTGTGCCAAGTTTGTTGCTTTCCTGAAAAAGTCGAACTATGAAGGGCTCATTTCTGGACATCTGACTGCGCTATTAATCTATTTATCTAAAATACAGATTTACCTAAAATACAGATTACAATGTTGTTCTTGTATAGCTTTGTGCATTTTTGTTTTTTAGTATGTAAAATGGACAATGAGGAGAGTGTGATCATGATTTCAATCATTATTAAAATAACATGATTGATTGTTTTATAATATTAAATAGTAGAAAATGTCAAATGACAGACAATGTGCTATGATTTTTTATGATATCATCTTCACACAAACAATGTGTTTGCTTGTGGAATATTTGCATATCCACTAAAAGATAAAAATGATATCCCCCAAGAATCATAGGACATGGTCTAAAAGTTGACACTGTCAACACTGGGCCTACCTTCCTAGGTAATGGAATTCCTATCCTCTTTTCATGCGAGATTTCAACCTTCCACCTGGATCAAAACATAAATAATTATGGCTTTTCTTTCTATTTAATAATTCAATCAGATTTTGAGAAAATGGCAAAAAACCTTATGTTGTAGTTGGGGGAGTTTTAGGGGCAAGAACAGATAATCTTTTTATAAGGCATGGAGTCAGATTTGCTTTTTGTGTTTTAGTCAAAGCTGACGACTTATGTCTAACAGCAAACAGAATAAGGCAAACTTGCAGTGTCTTCGCTACACTATATGGGGCTTGCACATTCTGTGGGTTTGCCTGATCTGTGATAAGATGTGACAGGCTTGAAAGCCAATGGTATTGACCATTTAAACTTTGAGCATATGAATAGAGTGCTTTTCAATCTGTTTAACAATACAAACACAACCACGACATCTATTAAACACATTTAAATGTTTCAAAAGTTTCAACCCACAATACAAAAGAAGGCTTCAAAATTGAGCATATTAGGAGTCATTTTCTAATATTAATCCAGGCCAGTAGCCAGGGGGGGGGGTCTTTCCTTCTGGATTATGCAGTTTTTCACTATTCTGAACACTTTTCAAGTGATTTTAGGCCGAAGTGGTCAATCATAAACCCCCATGGAAATCTTCATTAATGAGACAAACTAGACATTTTCAAAAAATATTCTTTAATTAAGGGTTTCTATCATTCCTATTTAATTATTATTATCTTAGGCTTTGAATAGTGTTTGTGTTTTTCTATTTACCTGTCAAGATGAGTAACTCTTGATTGTTTCATTTGGTTCAGGATATGCTTGATGACAACATCACCAGTGTATCCCTCTCCCCAGCCTAGTACCCTTGATAGGTCATTCCCAGTACCAAGAGGGAGTATACATACTTGTGGAGCAGGCTGAAAACATACAGAATACACATCAATATAACGGGTAGCATGCCCTCTGGCAAACATATCATATGACTAGATGAATAAAGTACAGTGAAACCCATCTTTGCACACTCAGTCTTCACTGCGTTCATCGACCGACGGGAGCCGAGTGAACGAAGATGGTGAAACCTGTAAAGTTAAACAACTCTAGAAGTTGAACACCTATTAGTGGAACACTTTTTAGAGTCCCAAGACCAACTGAATAAATATCAAATGAACATGTATAAGTAAAACATCTCTTGAGTGAAATACTCATTAGAGGTACCAAAGGTGTTCCACTTAAGACAGGTTTTACTGTAAATCCACACAACCAAATTTACATATGTAGGCATGCATTAATTGCATTGTAAAATGTAAATTAAGTCTCAAATTTCTGACTTAAATATCAAGGTTCAGAAGTTTTCTAGTTCAGACAAAAACCTGTAGTATAATTTATCTATTTCATTTAGTAGCGAAAACGCAACATCACTGCTTGGAGGGCAAACTCATGTGCAGATCATTATAGCCCAATAAAAATCTATGCAATGTGTTGTACCTTTTATTATAACAAATATCATAAATCTGCAACAAATTACCATGGCATTGTCAGTATCTTTACAGGATTGGATAATAAATAAAACATTCACCTGAAATTCACGTAAGCAGAGCTATAAAATATAATGTACCTGAGCCATATTGCAACAGACAATTCGAGTTCCAGGACATTCGCTAAATATTTTTGTAGCCATATAGAAGCCATTATTGCCGGATTAATTCAGGTGATTTAAAGACCCATAAGGCACAATGATGAGATGTAACATGGTTTACATTTTTGCAATCATGACATGCATATATACTTTTCTATTTGGAACAGAGACAGCATATCGCCAAGCAGTCTTTACAACACTTGAAAAACGATTCCACTATAAAACAACCATTCTCGGATTTATCTATAGCTGCTATGACATTGGATATATCTTTGGGACCATAGTTTTTGGGGCCATAGGTCATAAATTCAAGAAAGTACCACGCTTAATTCAAGCCTGTGGTTATGGACTTTGTTTGTCAAGCTTCTTATTTTTCTTGCCACATATCATATTTGGCGCTGAGGAACTACCTAACGATAGCATTGGAAATAGCACACATGAGTTCGGATATAACAATAGGATACATCTCTGTGATTCTCCCAGCAAAGTAACGATCAGCAACTTGATTTCAAACAAAACATCAAACTCAAACAACCATCTTGAAGAATGCAAGGATAACAGTCTAAATGGAAATCAACTAGAGCAGGGGATCACAGGATTTTTTTTGGTGTTTGCAAAGATAGCGATAGGTTTCAATCTAGTTGCCATGCTAAATGTTTCAATCTCATACATTGACAAACTTCTAAGACAACAGGGCACCTCCATATATATAGGTAACAAGTGAAAATCGTACATACATAAATCAAGTTCACGACCATGAAGTTTTAACAAATTCTGAATTTTCAGTAGTCTCTATTTAGATTCATAGTGAATTCACAATTTCATAATTTTTTAACTATTGGTATCAATACAGACATGTAAACAGCTGTTAACAATAAAACTTATATAAAACACTGTTATATTAGTAGGAAGTAGAAATTTGATGAGAATGCACAAAGGGCAACACTTCAAAAACAAAAAAGCATTCCTTTTTATGTCAATTCTCTAAATAATCTTAAAATTCATATTTAATACCAGTATGTAAAATATGACATAAAATATTCTAAATCGTTGAGACTTTACCAATGGGAGCAATATAACGTCACCAGGTCTGTAAAAATGTGTATGGATCTTTGGGTTTCTTTAACAAAAGATACACTTTCAGGGGTTTCGCTAGAATATCTCACAACAGGTTAAAAAAATGAAAACAACAAGCAAAATTAATGGAAATCATAATTTTAGCATGGAAAAGTTGAAAAAACCTTAAAAAACAACAGGCAATTTTGTGAAAACAACTGGTGAAAATCGCCCGTTGCCTGCTGCCAATAAAACCCCAAACTCTGATACCTCCTAAGGATTTTGTCACAAGATCTCTTTATCATTGATAATGAATATTACATACATTGTGCTGAAAGGTGTCTGGATCTTTACCTTCAGCATGTATATGGAGTTCTGGTTTCTTTGGCTACACAGCAGGATACCTTCTTGGTGCATTGTACACAAGTTACTACATAGATCTATCAGGTAAGAGGTTTGGTCTTAATAGCAATATGCAACAAGAACACAAATGTGTACAATATGTCCCCACCTATGGGTGATCCTGTCAAATGGTTATCCTAAAAATGAGTAGACAAGACTTTACCGACACAATTTGAGGACGGAGAATCCAAAATGGCCACCTTAAAATTTACCAAAATTAGTCAGTTCTAAATTTTCATACTAAGAACCACCCCTGAAAATTTGAAATTGATCCGTCACACAATTAACCAGAAAACATGTAAACAAGATTTGAGGACAGTAAATCCAAAAATGGCTACCTTGACATTTATCCAGAATGCCAAAAACTAATCTGTTCTAGATTTTCATACTAAGAATCATCCCTGAAAATTTGAAATTGATCTACCAAACAGTTCACCTGGAAATGTGTAGACAAGACTTTACAGACAAGATTTTAGGACAGAAAATCCAAAATGGCTGCCTTGACATTTACCCAGAATGCTCAAAAACTAATCAGTTCTAGATTTTCATACTAAGAATCATCCCTGAAAATTTGAAATTGATCTACCAAACGGTTCACCTAAAAACGCATAGACAAGACTTTACGGGCAAGATTTTAAGACGGAAAATCCAAAATGGCTGCCTTGACATTTATCCAGAATGCCGTAAAAATAATCAGATCTAGATTTTCATACTGAGAATCATCCCTGAAAATTTGAAATTGATCTACCAAACTGTTCACCTGAAAATGCGTAGACAAGACTTTACAGACAAGATTTTAGGACGGAAAATCCAAAATGGCTGCTTTGACATTTACCCAGAATGCCCAAAAACTAATCAGATCTAGATTCTCATACTAAGAATCATCCCTGAAAATTTGAAATTGATCTACCCAACGGTTCACCTGAAAACGCGTAGACAAGACTTTACAGACAAGATTTTAGGACGGAAAAATCCAAAATGGCTGACAATAAAAAAGTGATTATGAGTTTTTGCTGAAATCTTTTTACAAAATTATCACATATAACTACTCTTAACAATAACATAAGCTTTTACAACAAAGTACACCTGAAATTATTTATAAAGCTACTAAAAAGTTAAAGTATGAAAACTGAAAAACACCATTCAATATGATACAAAGTATTATCGTGCGCTAACTTTTCTTAAAACATTCAAAATGGCCAAAACCTAATCAGATCTAGAATGAAGTGAGCTGAACAAGATTTTAAAGTTTTAAAAGCAACTGTGAAGCCGTTTTTCTTAAAGTTTGCAGACAAGGATTTTAGCATTTGACTTCAAAATGGCCGACAGGAAGTAGGTATTGAGTTAATTTTTTTTCATCCACATCTGTATGCACTCATAAGTTATCCCTGAAGATTTGAAGGTGATATCTGTAGCAGTTTTGGAGAAAACTGCCGGACGTACGGACGGACAGACAGACGGACAGACAGACGGACGCGCCTAGGCCGACAATATGGCCCCACACTATGTGGTGGGGACATAAAAACGGTAAGTCACCCATGAAGTTATGTAAAATAAAATTGTTGATAATAGAGACTGTTAACTGGCCAAATCATAATTATGTGAAAAACTAAACTCAAAAATATTTTGAGCATGTACAAAAATGCAGCCTAAATCAGGTTGTTTTTATGTGTCTAGGAACCATAAAAGGCAATGTATTATATATTATGGTAACCAAACATGTGACTCAAGCATTTATTACTGTCACGACTCTGATATAAACTCGTCTACGTGTCACTTTAAGGTAGTATAGTATCGATTGCACATTCAAATCCCATTCTCACATAAATTCCAACGGTGACGAGAGAAGTCATGCCCAAAAGGAAAACTGAATAAACTGTCAATCTTTTTAATTTTCACATACTTTGTTATGCATTAGTATCTTTCATCGAGTTTATTTTCAAGAAAAAGCTGGGTTGTAGAAAAAAGTTTGAGCGATACCATACTACTACCTTAATTACTTTCTAGAATACTTTTTTTAACTGTTTTTTTAAAACTCCACTAGGTAATATTTCAACTTAATTTTCTCAAAGTATGGTTTTTAAATACATGGAAATAGTTTTATTTTGAATTGCAAAATGTGCAATAAAATCACATTAAATGTTAACTTGTTGAAGTTCTGAAAGTGCAATAACAATATGTTTAGAGATATTAAACTACGAGTGACACACTGGGCCTATTGCCCGGGGGTTTCACTCCAATATGTAGTGGTGAGACTCGCCACCAAAATTTCTACTCGAGTAGAATGATACATTTGACGATCGTGTAGACGATTTTGGCGATTTTTTTTTTTTAAATTGAGAAAATTAGAACCTGGAAAATCAAGGCATTTGTCACTACTTACATCGACTTTTGGTTTAATGACCACTCAATGATGTAGATCTGAATGGATTGAGTTCCGTTTTGGATGTTTTAGACGCACATTTACCGTATATCAGCAATGACATAAGCCTTTTATGGATTTTTTCGACTTTGAAATTCCCACTTCCGTCAAAATACATATGCGCATGCGCATGCGATATACCGGATATAAACAAACATAAAAAGCAATGAATATGATTCTCATACTTTTTCTCATCAACTGAACCATTAAATCAACAAAACAATCTGCAGAATATAGTCAGAAGTGTGTAATTTATTAGAAAAAAGTAAAGGCAGCTACAATCCTTGCTTAAATCGTGAGTATGGAGGGTAAATCGCGATTTTTCTCAGAAATATTTGGGATCACGATTTTCAAATTTTCAATCGATTGATCATATCTAGGCTCATTTGAGTTCTAGTCGATTACCAGAGTCACTCGTTACACCACTACCAATATGCCTCTTAATACCCATGTGCCACGCCAAAGATCCCCTTTTGAACATTTTTCCATGTCAATTTCCTCTCAATTTCCCTCTTTCCCAAATCATTTAGAGTGAACCCCCCGGGCCTATTGCCATATGCATTTTCCTCACTTTCACCATTAGCCGATTCAAAATGTTTGTTTAGCTAATTAAAGAATATTACAGAAAAAGAAAAGTCATAACTTTTTTTGCAACCATTGTTATTGAATAGGGGATCGGGATTCCAAATTTTAAAAATGCAATAAGTGATTTATTTTAATCATTTTACCTTATCTGATTAAATAACATAACATTAATGTTTTTTCTATCCTAGCTAAACCCCTGACATTGGCACCTTCTACTACAGGGTGACCTCAAAAAATGCAACCCTCCATTTTTTCAATATTTTTCTTAAATGGAGGTAAATTGCGCTGAGATTTGGCACACAAGGACTTCATTCAATGTGGGATCCTCTGGCAAAGTTTTAATAATCATAGTCTTATATTGACAGAGTTATGGTTGTTTCAAAATATGCTCCAGATGTCGTCAATTTCGCTGAAAACTAACTTGCAATGTTCAAGGAAAACTGTTCATAACATGGATGCATTCTTCCCCATGGGTATGGCTCAAATTTTTGCAGCCATTGCTTGTTGGAGTTCTGCAATTGCGGTAGGATTATTTTCATACACATCATCCTTTAAATAACCCCATATATAGAAGTCCGGGGCATTGAGATCAAGACTGTGGGATGACCATGGGATCTCCATCCTAGGAGAGATTATCTTCTCATAGAAATGACTAGTGAGCCAGGCTATGCTATCATTAGAAGTGTGAGGAGGAGCTCCAACCTTCTAGAACCACTGTTCCTGTCTATTGAAGCCTCTATGTCAATATAGAACTGCCTAGAACTTCCTGGGAACGCCAATAATGCGCTGTGTGTTAACAGTAACAGTGTTGCCATTATCAACCTCAAACCAAAAGGGACTGATGATTGCATGTTTGGAAATTGGCAGCCCAAGCTGTGCATTTCACAGAATGAATAGGGCCTTTGAAGCACTTCATCTGGACGACATTTGGAGCATATTTTGGAACGACCATAACTCTATTAATATAAGACTATGATTATTGAAACTTTGCCAGAGGATCTCACATTGAATGAAGTCCTTGTGTGCCGAATTTAACCTCCATTTAAGAAAAATATTGAAGAAATGGAGGGTTGCATTTTTTGGTCACCCTGTATATACCTTCTACCATGTTTTATAGATGTCAACCTTGATCAGGATGACCCAGCGTGGGTTGGGGCATGGTGGCTAGGCTCCGTGACAATATGTTGCGTGTGCTTCATACACTCCGCCCTATATTTCCTGATACCCAGTCAAATACCAATACTAAACAATACAGATGAAGACAAAGCATATGAACTTAAACATACTGAGACAGAATTAACAAATATCAATGCTCTGAGTTATGGAAATGATGAAGAGAAAGAAAGAAAATTGAGATCGACAGATGAGAAGGAAAAAATGATTGAACCTGAAGTTGATAATGAAGATGATGACCACGCAAATGCAAAAGAGATGGGCCTTAAAGCAGATGATGAGGGAAATGCAGACAAAGAATTCAAAGTGTTGTCCAATGTGAAACAACTGCTTCAGAATCCTGTGTTAATGGGTAAAATCAAACCAGATAATATTAACAAAAAATCGATAAAAGTGACTGAAAAATTACACATAAAATATTCAATGGATATTTTCCATGTTTTCCAACATATGAAAATGGCAAAATTTAAGTACAGGCCTTACTTGGAAAGTTCAATAAATTGATTTAACAATGTAAACAAATATAAATATATTATAATCCAAAATGTCTTAAACCCACATATTATGTGTATGTGCTGGGGAATGAGACTCATTCCACAAAGATGTTCATGTCCATGATTTCAATAAATGTCTAATTATTAATTTATTACTAGGATTGGTGATAGGGAATTGTTCTCCTGTGTGGGTCTATGGCATGTATGGCACAACATTTCTACCAAAATATCTGGAGACTCAATTCCAAATGACAGCATCAATGGCGAATATATTTGCAGGTATCACAAACATACACTGTATATGAAGTAGTTATTCACCAGAAGGGATCTGATATGGGGAATATCACAATGATGATACCAATTTTTAAATATCGATATCATCAGAGGGATATTACCCATATCATCCCAACAGGTGAATAACGACATTATACCATGGTCAAGAGCATAAATTATTATTTTGAAAAAATTCAAAAATTTCGAAAAAATGAAAAGCTTTGGAAAAATTAGAAAATTCTGAAAAAATGAATTTTTGGGGAAAATTTGTAAAATTTTTGAATTTACCCGGGATGATATCAATATCATCCCTGATATCATCCCTCTAAGCCCGATATCATCCCTGATATCCTCCGTGTCCCAAATATGTGATTTACCACTTGCTATTTTATACCTGATATTGCTCTGACCATGGTATAATGGTACATATATAAGGATCACTATAAATATGATGAGGAGATAAAATGAGATCCAAAAGTACTGTACTTCAAAGCAAAGAGATTAATTATATTATGAACACTCCAAATCATAAAGTGTGGAAAGTATGAAAAAAAATTAGTACCGTGGGTACTGGGCTCACATGGTGACAGAAAAAACGGATATAATTTTTTGCTGATTTTTTGTAACAAAATTATTTCAAGCCACTTGCCACTATTTTGGACTGACGGAGAGACAGATGGACAAATCGATGTTAAGTAAAATTGGTGAAAAAAAAACGGATATAATTTTTTTTCAATTATTTGGAACAAAATTATTTCATACAACTACTCTTTACAATGACATGGCTTTTTGCAATGCAAGACACCTGAAATTATTTGTAAAGCTAGGAAACGGGCCAAAATTGAATTTCACGAGACAAAAATGATGACCATTTTGAAATCAGGCAAGCTTTTGAAGCAGGAGTCAAAGGGGAGTTTTTTTGTATTGATGTTGAACAAAAATAACGTGAAACTGGAATCCTATCGACAGAGGTTTTAAGTAAATGGTCCAAAAGAGGATTTCGCGAGACAGATGAACAAATCAATGTTAACTAAAATGGCTGAAAATAAAAAAACAGATATAATATTTTGCCGATTTTTTGTAACAAAATTATTTCATACAACTACTCTTTACAGTGACATGGCTTTTAACAATGCAGGACAGCTGAAATTATTTGTAAAGCTAGGAAATGGGCAAAAAGTGAATTTCCCGAAACAAGAATGGCGACCATTTTGAAAATAGGCGAGCTTTTGAACCAAGAGTCATAGGAGAGTTTTTTGCATTGATGTTGAACAAAATTAACTTAAAACGAGAATCCTATCGACAGAGGGTTTAAGGTAAATGGTCCAAAAGTGGTTTTTGCGAGACAGATGGACAAATCAATGTTAACTAAAATGGCTGAAAATAAAAAAATTGATATAATTTTTCGCTGATTTCTCGTAACAAAATTATTTCATACATCTTCTCTTTACATTGACATGGATTTTTACAATGTAGGACACTTGAAATTATTTGTAAAGCTAGGAAATGGGTCAAAAGTGAATTTCGCGAGACAAAAATGGCTTTTGAACCAGGAGTCATAGGGGAGTTTTCTGTATTGATCTTGAACAGAAATAACTTAAAACAGGAATCCTATCGACAGAGGTTTTAAAGGAAATGGGTCAAAAGTGAATTTCGCGAGACAAAAGTGACGGCCATTTTGAAAATAGGCGAGCTTTTGAACCAGGAGTCATAGGGGACTTTTCTGTATTGATCTTGAACAGAAATAACTTAAAACAGGAATCCTATCGACAGAGGTTTTAAAACGTGCCACTATTGTTGACGGACGAATGGACAGACGGACGGACAGACGGACGGACAGACAGACGGACAAGTGAGTGATTGCAAAAGCTCACCATGTGAGCTAATAAAAACTATAGTAAAATTACAGGAATCCTATCGACAGAGGTTTTAAAGGAAATGGGTCAAAAGTGAATTTCGCGAGACAAAAGTGACGGCCATTTTGAAAATAGGCGAGCTTTTGAACCAGGAGTCATAGGGGACTTTTCTGTATTGATCTTGAACAGAAATAACTTAAAACAGGAATCCTATCGACAGAGGTTTTAAAACGTGCCACTATTGTTGACGGACGGACAGACAGACGGACGGACGGACGGACGGACGGACGGACGGACAGACAGACGGACAAGTGAGTGATTGCAAAAGCTCACCATGTGAGCTAATAAAAACTATAGTAAAATAATTTTGGAATCTATAAATGTTTCAGAATAGAGGAGTTTCCATACAGCTTTGAAATCTCGCTAATTCTCATTTTTTCATGTGATTTAAACACCCTATGCAGACAGAGCCTGTGGGAAATATTGGGTGCGGCGCAAATGAGCGGAGGGTGCGGAGCTAACGGTCATTTTTGAATTTAAAATTGGGATATTTCTGAAACTAAGCCGTTTTGGGACTTCAAATATACCAAGATATGTGTATTTGACACCAAATATCAATAAAATTGTGAAAATAGTAGCGCAATTCATTTTACAGCGACGCAGTATGCCTTAAACATTTCCCAGACCTATATATTTTGAGACTATCCTTTTAATACTGCGTCCCAAGTATTCATAAAAAATGGTGTTCAAGATACACTACCCATGCAAATTATTTTTGCATCTTGGAAGCCAGGCAGTATCTGTGTGATTTTATAAAAATTCGGAAATGTTCTTCAGATATGAGCCCCTCTAAATATTGGGTGCGGAGCTACGTTTATGGAGCTGCTCCGCACCCAATATTTAGAGGGGGCTCATATCTGAAAAAATTTCCGAATTTTTATAAAATCACATAGATACTGCCTGGCTTCCAAGATGCAAAAATAATTTGTAAAGATAGTGCACCTTGAACACCATTTTTTATGAATGCTGGGGACTCAGTATTAAAAGGATAATTTCAAAATATATAGGTCTGGGAAAGGTTTAAGGCACACTGCGTCGCTATAGAATGAATTGCGCTACTATATTCACAATTGTATTGATATTTGGTGTCAAATACACATATCTTGGTATATTTGAAGTCCCAAAACAGCTTAGTTTCAGAAATATCCCAAATTTAAATTAAAAAATGACCGTTAGCTCCGCACCCTCCGCTCATTTGCTCCCCACCCAATATTTCCCACAGGCTCTGTCTGCATAGGGTGTTAAAGAGATTTGCAGATTTTTTCTTTTTAATATCATATTTGAATTCAGTGAAAAGTTTTCCACAATAAGAATATACAGTTATGTCATTTAAATCATTTTACATGACTTTTTAAAAAGCTTGGGCCAAATCTCCATTGATGCAATGCTATTATTCTTTAAAACCTTGGTTTATTCGTTTGACAATAAAAAAATTTATGATTAATCACAACAGGTACATTGACAGGGTCATCCCATACACAGCAAAATTACACTGGGGCCCATACGAGTTTGTACGAGCCCCGTCCCCTCAACAGGCTCTGTACAACCTTGTACGGGTCTAGTAACGAGTCCTGTAATTGCTCGTAAATTCCGAGCCTCATACTGGCTTGTTACAAGGCCCGTTAGAAAACGTCATTTCCGACCCATGTACTTGCCCTTGGTAATTTTCGACCCATGTACTTACCTGTACGTAGATCGTAACAAGGCCCATAATAGCTCATTATTTCCAAGCTCAAGTGACGGCCTGTCAAGAACCTGTAAGAACCCGTGACTTTTGACCCACGTACTTGCCCGTATGAGGCTCGTAACGAGGCAACTCTTAGCTCGTTAGTATTATAAACTTTTTTGTGATCAATGAGTACATTTAAATTTAAAATACATTTCAATTTTGCGTAAATTGGAATAAATATGTTATAAATATTTCAAGTACTACTTTGTAGAATATAGAAACTATACTATTTGACTCAATTTACAATGTGATTTTTAGCGAGTTTGAATTGAGATGACCTGTCACCATGATCTCTGATTTTTATACATAACTTCAATTACTTATGATAAAATGATCCCATAGCAGGTCTTGTTATGTGATGAATACATGTAACACCAAAGTCAGCATTGGTTTAAATTCACCTGACATTCCAGCTATTATGGCTGGAGCAGGTTGTACAACAGGGATGATTCTGAGTGGTGTCATACAGTTGAAGTTCAAGTTAACAATGAGGCAGATGATACTGTTGACCATAGGTGGCGCTCTAACTAGTCTCATTATAGTCTTATTGGTTATTGCACTCTCATGCGATCTAAAGCCATTGGCTGGGACTGTTGTTGATGGAAGGTATGAACATCAATGTTGGAAGATCACCAAAACAAGCGTATGACAGTTAACCATGGCAGATTAGTCAAGTGTTAAACTGATCACTTCATGTTACTCTATTACTTCATTTCCATTATATAATACTTGAGCATAATTTAAACATTAAAAATAAGCAACGATAAACATTAGATTATTTGATTTTTATAAGTGGTAAGTCTCTTAAATAAAGATTAAGCTTTCAATTTTTAATAATTTAGCCTAGATGTTAACATGGAGTGTATGTCCCACTGTTCCTGTGAGTTGAATCTTCTCCCAATATGTGTTGATGGCCATACTAATTATGCGAGTGCTTGCCATGCTGGCTGCATGGATACTAATCTAGTTGATGGAGTTCAGGTGAGTCCCTCTGTGGAGACAAATGGCAAAGAGGTAGTTTGTTCTTAACAATGATCTAAGATCCAATGGAACAGTGTCTAACTCCAAAGCTCCCCTATAATTTAGAAAAGGGAGACTTTTGTTTGTTAGCATGCTGGTCGATATCATAATAAAGTAGTCACTGAGTGGCTATGGTTTACACAAGTTGATATAATCATGAGTTAACTTATAAATCTCAATTTAAATGTAGATGTTATGCACAATATTGAACAGCCAGAAGTCAGTGGAGATAATCATGACAACCCAACGAATTTACCTGGTCTACCCCATCACTACCCAAGAACCAGACATCTTTTTCCTTCTTATTTTCCACCCCATCCCATCCTACTCATTCCCTGCATCCCCCTATTCATCTTTCAACTTTCTCCTTTTTTAATATTTCATCCTAAATTCATAACTTCCCCTAATCTTCCACATCCTGCCACCACTCTGTATGATGCTATATAGCGATTTCCAAAATGACTTCTTTATAATGCAATGTTCCAGATGTACAACAACTGCAGTTGTCTCCCTAACAACAGCACAGTTGTTGATGGATGGTGCAAGAGTGACTGTGTTCCCATGGTTGCAACATATATTGTTTTATGTTTTATCCTATTGATGACAGTATGTGGTACCAATGTGGTGTTCCCAACTACATGTGTGCTCTTGTAAGTGCCATAAATTCAATAACTATTATATGTAAGGTAACTTGAGTTAGAAAGAATTGTAAATCTCATATTTAACATTCATTCAGCCAATCTCTCGTTCACCCAGATTACTCACTAAGTAAACCAAAAGACAAAATAAGATTTGATAATTTTTAGATATGCCAAGTTTTCACTGATTTGAACAAAGTATAACCAGAACAACGGCAACGCCAAAGCGTAGCGAATCCCATCGAACAGCCTTGGATGGCATTTTTACAAACAAAGTATATAGCAAAAATGGCCGCCTTCTACCAAAAGTGTCATTAGACAGTGTGCCATGCTTACAGTATTCACATACCAAATATGAACAAAATCGCTTCACTACTTTTCGAATTATTGTAAAATACATTAAAATGGCGGCCATTTTTCAAAAAAAAAATTCAAATTGGCCACCTTCTACTAAAAGTGTCATAGGATAGTGTGTCATGCTTTTAGTATTCACATACCAAATATGAACAAAATCGCTCCACTACTTTTCGAGTTATAGTAAAATACGTTAAAATGGCGGCCATTTTGAAAAATGGCCGCCTTCTACCAAAAGTGTCATTAGACAGTGTGCCATCCTTATAGTATTCACATACCAAATATGAAAAAATCGCTTCACTACTTTTCGAGTTATAGTAAAATAGGTTAAAATGGCGGCCATTTTTCAAAATGGCGGCCATTTTATAAAATGGCCACCTTCTACCAAAAGTGTCTTTAGACAGTGTGCAATGTTTATAGTATTCACATACCAAATATGAACAAAATCGCTCCACTACTTTTCGAGTTACAGCAAAAATCGTAAAATAACGAGTAAAGGCCCCCATTTTTCAAGATGGCTGCCAAGTGCTTCTTTAATATCTACATTTCTAGCTTTATTAATGTCCTATATAATTTTTTTACATCTAAAACATATTGCTATTACAGTTTTACATATTGCACCTAAATTACTGTAAATTCAGCACTAAAATGGCCGCCATTTCGAAATGAGCGGCCATTTTGAAAATCGGCTTTCGAGCAGAACTTCTATTTCCATAGGGTATATGTGTACAAAATATGAGCAAAATCGTGCCAACGGTATTTGAGTTATTGCCCGGACGGACGGACGGATGTACGTACGTACGGATGGACGGATGGACGGACGGACGGAGGCGTTCCCTATATCCCTCCGAACTTCGTTCGATGGGATAATTATGTAAATGATGCGTCTGCTTGTTTGTAATATATTCTATGAGCATGAGTTGTAATACAATAAATGCAATAAAAGATAAGTTCAATTGTATTATGCAAGTAGGAAACAAGATAATTCAAATCAGCAGCATGCACAGTTAAGGGTCAATGTAGTCAAAATACCACAAATATAATTTTATGCCATTTCAATACACAAACCTATTTGCTCAAGAGAGTAATCAACTAGTACTACTCCCTTCAGTCATAATTGACTTCAATATTATATTTTTTATAGATTGGTGGACTCAAAACAAAGCAATTTAGCTCTTGGAATTTTAATGGTTTTCACATGTATGCTTGGTAAGAAAATAAATACGAAATAAATTTATTGTGGAAATATTATATTTCTTTAAAATGATTAATCAAAAGTAAACAATCAAATGACCAAAATTCATCAAAAATGTGTCTAAAGCACTGACCATATGACACTTTTATATTAAGGCTGGTTTCCTGGGCCTGTAGTGTACGGCAGTGTGATTGACTCAACATGTTTGCTATGGGATGTTAAATGTGGCCAGAGGGGGAACTGTTTGGTGTATGATGTAACACAATACAACTATCGTTACAACATCCTGACGGCTCTACTCCAGTTAACTGCGATAGCAGCTAACAGCTTTGCTTATTACAAGTGGCAGAAAGGAGCCAGAGACTCTAATGATAAAATCAATGAAACAAATGCTTGAAATGCACCACCTACAAACATAATTGATATGTTTTTACATTTGTACTCAGATACAGGGTTCTCACTGGGCTTTTAGACTTCGTAGATTCTCTAATCTAACCCCCTGGCTCCAGAGTCTAATAACTTTTCCAGAGTCTAAAGTGTTTTTTCTGGAGTCTAATTTTTTAGGCTCCAGAGTCTTATAGCTTTTCCAGAGTCTAAAGGTTTTTTTTTCCGGAGTCTAATTTTACATTTTTGTCACATTATTTGTGGTAAAACTCTTAAAGAAAATACATAAAACTGGATAAAAACAAGGAATAGGAAGTCAGAAACCTTTTAGAAACGTATATTGTGATTAAAATAGGATGATAATCTTAAGAAGTATTCTGAAAAGTACACTAATAGGATATCTTTGATATCACATGGGGGAGGAGTAGTCGCGATACAGCGAAAAATTTGGGGTCTAAAAATTTCTTGGTGAGAACCCTGCAGATGTTTTTCATTTCATATACTTACCAGGAGGGTAGATGTACATGCACACTTATCATATTCAAAACTGTAAATTATATGGTAAAGGAACTCTTCATTTCCATTTTATATGTTCTTCAATTTAAACACATCTGGTACACATCTGATATTATCACTTAAAATGAATTTATTAGAATAGGTCAAAATAAAATGTGAATACAAACAGACGGTACCTTTAATTTTAAGTTGTCTATAGTATCAAGTACCCAGCCAACAGTCCCGTCTCCACCAGCAACCAGTACCCGACAAGTCACTTCTGGCAAAAGATGGCACCACTCAAGTCCATGTTGTGGAGATATTTCATGGAGATCAATCACCTATTCACATTAAAAAAATCATTCATTCGATAATCTGTGTATTTAGTACAAAATTCAAAAAGAATAAGTGTTGATATTAGCGTCATTGATACTTGGTCAAGATCACAAAAGATTTAATTGTACAATATAAAAAGTTTAGGTGATTATGCATTTGCTCAATATTACATTTCAAAGCACAAGCACATTAAACAAACACATGAAATACAGAAAATGCATACTACTAACCTGTGCAGGATTTAGTATGGCTCTGAATGATCGTAGTATATGTTCTCCATCATTGTTACCACTCTTCCTATTGGCTATTACAATTAATGGCTGCCATTTTGGAATGATTGGCGCTGTCACTGTTGATACAATAAGATGACGTCTTCCTTTAATGCCCACCTTTTTCAACTGAATACAATTCGGTGGGACAATAAAATCACGAAAGTGTCCAAGATCACAAATTTCAGTAAATTTGGAAAGGCACTGGTCATGAACTGTACGTTGACACCAACAACAGCGCATGTCGCATAACTCAGCCTGGTGTCCACATTCTTCTTGACACACAGTGCATGTGCTGCATAACGGAAGATTCCCTTTCACCCAATGATGTTTTAAAATATCTGATTTGTTAGATAGAACTTTACATGGTATATGCCTATTAGCTACCCTGACTGCTCCATCGTCTACACAGATGCCACAGGAGTCGCAATACGCTCCTTGGATAATATGCTCCTTGCTAACAGAGCAATATGTTGGCTGAGTAAACATTTCTGTTTTACACCATCTATGGCCTTTACTTATGTCTCGGGCTGGGACATCATAATGAGTGTATCTCCGTCGACATTTTTGGCAGATTTTGTTGATGATAACAGTTACTGCAATAATACCTGCCACGCATGCTGATATAAACCACATGGTTGGCCCTGAATCCTGAAATAGCAGACATATTATAATGAACAAGCATGGTACTATTTTACAATCAATGACTGTTGACAACTGCTGATCAGTAGAATCATGATTTAATATGAATAATTATATAGTATTATTAGTAGAATTGGGACAATGATTAAACAACTTAAAATTCACTATTAGACTGATATCATTTACTGAATTTTAGACAAGATCAAATGATTTAATGGAAAGCACTATGGACCGTCATTTGAATTCAGGGCTGGCAGAAGCTACCAATGTTTGTGATTCAGGTAAATTACAATTTTAATGATTTGATTGGTCAATGAAGTGATAGACCAGGGGACAGATCTTGACATCTGATTGAATAGTTTACAATACAGGTACTAAAAGCAAGACAGGAATGATGCATACCACAAAGTTGAGATCATAAATTTTAATCAGATATAATTGGATTTGCACGATAACTATAAAACTGAGATAATGGCGTAAATGGGTAGTACACTGCACACATCAAAATGATGATTGTTAACTGAGATAATGGATACCTGAAGTTGGAGATTTCTGATGACAGCCCCATGGGTTTTCCATTATCAGATTCATTTCAAAATAATGTATGCACTCTAGTCTAAGTCTAAAATATAACTTGCATTAGTTTCCCGGGATTAGTTTAAAAAATTAGGCTAGAAATCTTTACATGTACCTCATTATCATTAGCCATTGCTAGGAATTTAGCTAAAATCTATGAAACCATTTAAGCTCCAGTATGTATATCGTGATTTATTCTATCTCTTCCGTGTGTTTTTACTTTGGTAAATCCATTATTGGGTGCCATATCATTAAAAAAACAAAATATTTTGACAATAAGTTTTCATCCTATATTTTCTACCCTCTACATTGAAGAGTTCCACTTCCGGTAAATTGGCGGGAACTAAAAAATTTCAACTTTTTATTTTCATTCTGTTTTCTGTGCATTGACGAATACATAGTGGATCCCAGACATCAACACTTGGACCTATTATCAGATGAAGGTCCTAGATACAGCAATGCAATTTTCATCAACTCCCGACGTGAAAAACGTTGGAAAACTTTTGAGTGATCCAAATGGCGAAAATGCATCATTCTCTCGCGGATCAGCGACGATTGAAGATCATTCTTCACGTTATATGTTAAAGAAAAAGAATTTTACAAGACAGTATGCACATATATATTCACAAAGGCTTGAGAAACTGCGTCCACACTTGATAGCATCAGCGAAAAACAAATGGGGTAAGATCGTGTTTTGTTTTTGTTGTCTATTATCACCCACTGGAAATTGGAATGTAATACTGTACTCCGGGTAAATTTCGACGCTATAAAATTTCGCGATTTTTCAAAATTTCAATTTCGCTGCTATTTAATTTCGCGGATTTGAGTTGATGACGTTTCGAAGATTGTACAAGTTGATTTTTTTTCCTATTACCGTGAATCAATGTGGGCTATTTTAGCCCGTTCAGAATCCGAATAATGTTTGTATATCTCACGTTTAGGGCATTTATTTGAATATTCTTGAATGGCTTTTTAACTTCAATTTGTAGGATATCATTGTCGTCAACAGTTCTTGCCTTTGTTGGCCTAATAAGGCAATTCAAAATGTTTTGAGGCCTTCGCCCAACAACACTGGAAGAAACGTTTCACACCGAACGAAACATATCAAAAGGCCCAGGGATTTAAGACAAATTTCGCGACGATAAATGTTCGCGATTTTACTACATTCGCGAACAAAGCGAAATTAAATCGCACGCGAACATTACCCGGAGTACAGTATTATTATGGAATGTTATAAAAACCCTTCGACCTGCACCTTCGACCTTCACCTTCGACTTACAGGGTGTCCAAAAAGCGGGCCAAAATGAAAGTTATAAAAACCCTTCGACCTGCACCTTTGACTTATTGACGTTTTATACTCAGTTATGCATGCAGTTAGTAAACGATGTGAAAATGAAAACAGTTCTTGAATTCAAGCAAATGATTTCCATCGATCGTTTCTTGGCCTCCTCCGTTGAAGAGTATGAGTATAAAGAATTGGATATATCACACGTTTTCTTCGTAAATTTGTAAAAGCTTACCTGCATGAAAATACACTGGAAGTCGTGGTGTCCCTACAGTAAACAAGAGAATGATAATCCTTATAGTCTCCAATCGATGCGGGAATGTTGATCGATCATGTATATAATATTTCTACGGCTGCAAGGAGAAGGCATTCCATCTGTATCTATTAAAATTTGTCTGTTTAACCAATTACTAAGTACGACGGTAAATTAAATTTGATTCTAGCTCTATGATTTTTTGAAGACTTTTTCTTTTCACTGGAGCGACACCTTAGTGAACAAGAAGATAGTCTAATTACCCCCCCCATGGCCAGAAATTCTCAAACACATGCAGTTTTTCACCATTTTGAGCAAATTGGAATGATTTTTAGCCAACACTGTCAAAAAGCTCCCCCTTGGCCAGGGGGGGGGGGGGTACTGGTCAAATTTTTTTACAGAGAGACTCAAAATACCTACCCAATTAATTTTTAAAAAACAAGACCCACTTCTGGTGATTTTTTCAAAAACAGCACCCATACAGTTTTAGGATTTTTCAAAGAGTAGACCCAGTTCTAGGGATTTTTCATCAAAATGGGCCTCATATCTAGTGTTTTTTCTTCAAAATGGGACCCACATCTAGGGATTTTCCGGTGAAAAAGTGACCCACTTTAGTGGCACGTCCCCATACACAGGCCTGTCAACTTGGGAACACCTAACATGAGTGACCTGCAAATGTTGAACACCTTTGTTCAAATTTTGGACACCCTGGTCCAAATCTGAACACCTTGGCCACATTTTGAACACCTTGGTTTAAATTTTATTGCATATAATTAAAGTTTGGACACCTCAAATGTTTTGCGCTCACGAACTGTTATCAGGGGCGAGGGGGGGTAGGTAGGTACGAAATACGTTCCTTTTCGTTGTTCGGTTTTGTGGTGTTTTGCCGATCATTTTTGAAAATTTTTCTACAACAATATTTTTGCTGGACAATATTCAGGTAAAATGCTTATTTGCGCGACATACTCTGTTACGCAAAAAAAACTGGCGTGACTTCAGATTTTCCAGCAAATACGTGACAAATATGCAAATTGCGGGACAGTTGGACGGCTAGCCTTGCCCAAGTCGGTATTTTTTTACTTATCTGATCTTGAATTATTACCGCCTTGTACAATCCAATACATCTCCGCTGTCATTATGCTGAAATATTCAACGGTTTAGAGATTTCCATAATGCCTACGCTATCAGGGGTATCGCGAAATCTTATTGATTGACAGATATCGCGTGGCGGAACGTGTGACTTCAAGCTGAATGACCAATCAAAATGTTATCAGGTTGAGCCGCATAAACAAAACAAACTTCCCATCTACGACTTGAAATTCAATGATCTGATCGAGTGTTTCGTTAGAGTTACTTAAATGTACATTGGAAAGTAAGAGTCATTAATATAAATTAAATCATGCGATTCAATGTTGATTTAAAACTGATTTCGCGATAAAAATGCACGAAGACCTAGTCCAATGTAGCGGGTCATGTTGTCGTCGATCGGTGATTGAATCTCAGCCTACATGTTCAGCGATCGTTTCAACGTTTATTGTTGAAATCTTCTCACCTTTGGTTATCCAATCGATGCCCCGGCATCCACTAAACTCTCATTGATATTTATCTGATAAAATATTTGTATTTTCATGATGAATTCGTGCTCAGATACGTGCAAGATTTGTTCGTGAAAAGTCCCGGTGAAAAGTGTACTTGTTTTTGATCGTGCATAATAATGAGCTAACGCTACAGGGCCGTCGTTGATTGGTCAAATTTTACCGACATCAACAAACTGTCAGTAAAGCTCGTGGCTTTCTCTTTGGTACAAGGCGGTCATAATAGAAATCAAGATAAGTAAAAGAGACCGACTTGGGCAAGGCTATTGGACGGCCTGCATACAGTATAGCAAATATGTGGTAAATCCTGGCTGCAGGCCTGCTAGTCACGTCTGAGACATGGACTCCCCCATGGACTTGAGTGAATGTTTCTAACATATTTCCTAATAGTCCTACTTATATATGGTGTTTACAATTATATGACTTATATGGAAATCCTTGTATGGAAATATTATATAGTTTCGAAAGAAAATATGACTTTTGCGTGGTCTGAGATCGGCAAAAATAGCTTCTATAATATTTTCTTTTTGGACACCGTGTAGGTCAAAGGTGTAGGTCGAAGGTGCAGGTCGAAGGTTGAAGGGTTTTTATAACATTCCTATTATTATTATCCCATCATACGAAGTTCGGAGGGATATAGGGAACGCCTCCGTCCGTCCGTCCGTCCGTACGTCAGTCCGTCCGTCCGGGCAATAACTCAAATACCGTTGGCCTGATTTTGTTCACACATGGTACACATATACCCTATTGGGGTAGAAGTTCTGCTCGAAAGCCGATTTTCAAAATGGCCACTCGTTTCAAAATTGCGACCATTTTAGTGACGATTTTACAGTAATTTAGGTGCAATATGTAAAACTGTAATAGCAATATGTTTTAAATGTAAGAAAATTATAGAGGACATTAATAATGCTACAAATGTAGATATTAAAGAAGCACATGGCAGCCATCTTGAAAAATGGCGGCCTTTTCTCGTCATTTTACGATTTTTGCTGTAACTCAAAAAATAGTGGAGCGATTATGTTCATATTTGGTATGTGAATACTATAAGCATTGCAGACTGTCTAAAGACACTTTTGGTAGAAGGCGGCCATTTTGAAAAATGGCCACCATTTTAACGTATTTTACTATAACTCGAAAAGTAGTGGAGCGATTTTGTTCATATTTGGTATGTGAATACTATAAGCATGGCACACTGTCCTATGACACTTTTGGTAGAAGGAGGCCATTTTGAAAACAATTTTTGAAAAATTGCTGCCATTTTAACATATTTCACTATAACTCGAAAAGTAGTATAGCGATTTTGTTCATATTTGGTATGTGAATACTATAAGCATGGTACACTGTCTATTTCTAATGACGCTTTTGGTAGAAGGTGGCCATTTTGAAAAATGGCCGCCATTTTAACATATTTTACTGTAACTCGAAAAATAGTGGAGCGATTTTGTTCATATTTGATATGTGAATACTTTAAGCATGGCACATTGTCTAATAAAACTTTGGGGAGTAGTCGGCCATTTTGAAAAATGGCCACCATTTTTATGTGTGTTATTTTACAAGTACGTGTGCGATTTTTCAAAAATTTTAGAGGTGGCTACTTAAAATCATATTATTTCTTCTGATGGCCACTTGGCTAGTGAGCAACCATTTTGAAAATGGTGGCCTTTCTGGTGTGTTGTTTTATGATATTTGCGCTTCGTTTGTAAAAATGCCAGCCATTTCTGTTCGATGGGATTCGCTATGCTTTGGCGTTGCCGTTGTTCTGGTTATATTATAATAATTTTCATAGAAACATGACAGTACACTTCACCTCTAATAGTTCATAGTTAAATTCACAAATACAGTCTTCCACATCTACTTTTTTATGCAAATTTTCTCATAATTTTCTCGATGATGGTCTACAGGGTCTGAGTGTGTCCCCCCAGGCAGACATATACCAATGTCTCCATAGTATGTGTCATATATCATTTTAAAGCTTATCCAAAGCTACCATACATTGATTTGCCAAGATGGTTCAATTCACAAATGGGAAAAAGTTACAGGCATTTCAAAATTTAGTGTTGCATAACAAACTTTCTCTGGTGTCAGATGTAGGTTGTTGACCCTTGTACTATGACAGCCTCAGTCTACAGTATTGTACCTCAAGTTGTCATAAAAAAACAAAAAGCCTGAAGATTATAAATGCATCAAAATTGGCTTATTGATTCAAATAACATGTCATGCAGGGCATGAGTATGATTCAATGAGCAACATACATGACTGTATACTTCTTATTCCAGGGAAAGATATCTCCGTGACAACCCTTGCAAACTTGGAGATGGGAAAGAAATGTGTTGTCGTGGGAACACTGTTTAAACATATGGAACTCCAACCTAGTATACTGAAGGAAATAAGTGAGGAGGTAATGATACTGATGAGCACAATGTTACATATTGGTTGTTATTATTGTTATTTCATGAGGGCAAGGGGAATCGACATGTAGTCTCATAACTTTGCAGTATGAATGGTTTGTGAGTTGTTATTCTTTTGACTTCTAATTATGAACACAATTATAAAATCGGCGATATCTTTCCTATTTTTTATTACCTTAGCTGCAAAAAACCAACTTCACATCTTAAAATAAAACCATGAAGATAAACTTGATTTCATTTCTAATCTCATAAGTTGTATATTACATTGTCTACAAACTCTATATCATTATTTGCTCGAGGATTAATGTTTTGTGTATGAAGTTTACTGAGTCCTCTCATGCCAATTTCACTGGATTCATTGACTTGCGAGTTTTGGATCATTTCATTATCTTTAACCTTTAGCGTGCTGCCGGCGGACGCGTGCTGCCGGCGGACGCGTCCGCCGAGACTAAAATGTCTCTCACAACTGCCGGCGGACCCGTACGCCCGATTTCAAACTTTTAAAAACTTTTCTTTTTCGCGCCATTCGTATTGTCCAATTAGATTGCCCGATTTATTCAGTGCCTAACATGACTTCCTGTTGACCTAGAAATGGCGATATTTCGAAAAATAATTCTCAATTCAACAATTTAAACAGTGTTTTAGTCGTTTTTAGTGAACGAATCGTACAAAATGGTGGACAAATACGAACACAACGAAAATGTGGAGGAAATGGATTACGATTTCGAGCTCTTTAGGCTCTTGGAAGCCGATAACGGTCATCGAAAATAGAAACTAGAATATTTTCTGAATTGAAAAATTGAACATTCGATCGCTGCAAATTCAGATTTGGATTCTGACCAGACGAAGGGGCGGAGCGGCGGATTCCGGAGGAGTATTCATGGTATATTTATGCCCAGTCGTGTTAATGTACGAAAAAATTCATGAGAACATTTTGTTTCATGAGCCAGGCCACTGTATCTTCCCTTTGTGAGAATTTTATCCAGATTCATTGAGTAGTTATTGAGATATTAATTATTTAGTCCAGGCATATCATTTTTTGCACTCTTTGAAAAATAAGCCAGTTGCGTGGGATATATTTGCTGAAATAAGGCAGCATGGTAAAGGTTAATATCAGACTACCTGTGATCATTTCTGGTACAGAATATCGATCTTGTTCTCTTTCTTGGATGGTTTCTGTTTCAATATCTTCAGAATTATTAAAACCAATTGGATATACTTTAGAATTTTGAAATATTGCTACAATGATCTCAATTGCAAATGAAAAAATCATTTTTTGTCATGTTCAGAACATTCTCATATATCTATGTTTATTGCTTCTTCTCCAATTGAGCTTTTTAAGCTGCATTCAGTGTTACTGGTCAGTACCTTCCCTTAAAGGCGCAATACCGGAAATGGGGAATAATTCCTTACAAAAACTTCAAAATAAATCGTTTGTGCCTCAAACCTGCCCCTAAGAATGGCTACGACGAGAGCTTACTTTTGTCAAAATATCGGAGCCTGAAAAAAGTCACTCACCTAGATATCGACGAAAGAACTTTCAGTTTCGTTCGACTGCGAGAGCAAAATTGAAGCTGAGCTAAACAGTTTTCGTTTGTCGTAAAATTGACCTCATTTAACTGCGCCATCTGGTGAATAAATCATTGTTTCGTGTCATATGATGCGTTATTTTGTGTCACGTGACCTATCTTTAGACCTTTTGCCACCTATCGTAATTCGTAAGTTAATCGAATTAAAATAAAATTTTTCGATCCAAGAAGAAAATTTGCACAAAAATTATTAACTCTGCTTGACATAATCTTTGTCACTCTATCGTCTTCTTGATGAGGCACATCGGAACTTGGGATTAATAGCCATTCAACCAAGCCACAAAAAGAATGTATATTAGTTGTTCAACATGTTCAATTGTGTTAATATTTCCTGGAACTCGGCCTTTAAGCTGTGGAAGATATCGTTGAACTGTAATGCCTACACATAACGCATGGTACATGTATATGAACAATATTCCATAGTTTCCATGTCATATAAGCCTGATATAGTTCATCCTAGGAATATTTGCTATAAACATGTACAATGCACAATAATAATACCAACATTAGTTTTTGTTCCTACATAAGATTGATAATATACAACATTTGTGCTGAAGCATTTTACAATTTGCAATTTCATGCACTGGAGTTCTGGAATATACATAATATTCTAGTTAAATACTAATCTAGTAAAATATAATTACTGTATACTGAATTACACACTCCTACCTTGCATTTGGTGTTTTGGATAATTAATTGCAAAATGTGCATTGTTTGAATATAATGTTTTCTTTATAGGGTGAAGGAATGTTTAATGTTTGTCAAGTATGCAAAAAAATTTACTTAACAATCCTAATGAGATGGGAAATCTCATGACTTTATAATATCTTAGTAGGAATGTGTGTCTAGGCCTCATGAAGGCAAACATTTAACTGAGACATGAATTAAATTCTAATCTCATAAGTTATATATCGTATTGTCCACAAGCTCAACATCACTTGTTGCTTGGGGGTCCATGTTATGTGTATGAAGTTTACCGTGTTCTCTCATGTCTATTTCACTGTTATCATAAACTTGTGACATCTGGACCATTTCATCATCTTTAACATCAGAATAATCATTTTCATGTCCATCTGGTTCTTCATGTTGAAAGTTATCTGGTTCGATGTCCTCATAATTATTGATATTAATTGGAAATGTAGTTTTTGGTGATGTACTTTTCTCTTTTGCATATATTGAATATGAATGGTCTATGTTGGTTGTAGAATTATTTTCAATGGGTTCATAATCAGCATTGGTTGTTATGTCTGGTTCTGTTTGATTTATGACACTATCAGTTGATGTTTCATTGTAAGTGGTATCATATACAAATCCTAGATGTTCTGGGTCAATCCCAGAGTCATCATCAAATTGATCATTATCAGTGTCGTCATTCTGTTCAGTGTCTTGTTTTGCATCTTGTATTCTAAAATGGATTGAGTCATCTAACATATCAGAGCTAGAGTCATATAAAGAATTATCCAAAAGCTCAATTTGCTGGTGGGAATCTTTACGAACTTGGCCAATAGGATTTATTGAATGTGAATGGTCCAAAATGGTTGTAGAATTATTTCCAATTGATTCATATTCATAATTGGTTGTCAGATCTGGTTCTGTTTGATTTATGACACTATCAGTTGATGTTTCATTGTAAGTGGTATCATATACAAATCCTAGATGTTCTGGGTCAGTCTCAAAGTTATCATCAAATTCATCAGTGTCATCATTATGTCCAGTGTCTTGTCTTGCATCTTGTATTCTATAATGGATTGAGTCATCTAGCATATCAGAGCTAGAGTCATATATAGAATTATCCAAAAGCTCAATTTGCAGATGGGAATCTTTACCAATTCGGTCATTAGGAACAGATGGCACATAGAGGGTATTGTCTAGAAGCTCAATTGGATTTGTTGGTAGGGACTCCCCATCAGTTTGATCTTGGGGTGTTGGTTCTTTATATAAAGGGTTGTTAAAAAGTTGAACTTGTGCAGTTTCTTTACTTTGCAGTTGACTGGAATTATCATATGGTAGTACACCATTTGCATGTTCTGGGTTGCCTTCTTCTGTAACTGTAAAAGCATTGTTGGTGCTCCCTTTTAAGTGGTTTGCAGTTTGACCCTCTCTCCTTTTTCTACAATACAAAATCACTGACTCCAAATATGTAGGATGTTCATTTCTGGACTATGAAAACAGAGCTTTATAATTTAGCCAGTATACCCATTGACAGGTCAACAATTACCCTTTATATCAATTTAATGTTATCTTATTGCGCATAAATAAGTTCATAAGAATGAAATAAGAATGTCACCATAACAACATGTACCTGCGCTTCACCATGACAACAGTTACCAGCACCACTAGTAAGAGGAACAAAAATGCTCCTGTGATACTTCCAGCAATCAAACCTGGAATAGAACATCTAATATAAGTCTGTAATTACAATCCTAGGAGATTTCCCTTGTTATGAATAGCCCTCTACTCAGGTCACAAATGCAACATTTCAACTCATGATAGACGAAATAAAAGGAGACGGAACATTAGTAAAACTTGTCTTAGGGAACACCTCTCTAGTGTCAACACCTGTCACTAGTGGATACCCCTTCTCCGCACATACTCTACTTGTTTCTGTATGAATTACAGTCTCTGTAGTGAACATTTACAAACACTAAACATTTTTTCTTGGCAAAGGGTTGTTCAATATACAAAGGTTTTACATGTATATAAAAATATGTTTTGTACTATCTAGTATATATTACTACAGTACAAGTTTCAATTTAATAATAAATGTGTTCATTAGTTGGTTTTGAGATTTGAATAACAGCAGTACAGTATGTTCATTCACTGGATACCTACCAATGTTAGCATTTGCTATTTCCTCCTCATCTGTTTTCCTGATCATTGTTTCAGTACTTTCAGCTTGTTGTATAGTGTCATTATCATTGTCTTCTGCTGTGTTGTTTATGTGGACTGTTGTCTTGTCACCAAATGTTATATTGTTGATGGTTGTAGGGTTCATTGTTCTGTTTGTAATTGTTAGGGGTTCTTTTGTACTCATTTTAGTGGTTTTCTGTATTGTGATTGTCATGGGTGATGGCTTTATGGTTGCTGCAGATGTGGTAGGCTCTGGAGTTGGTGGAGGAGTAGTTGTTGTGGTAGTAGTTGGAAGGGGTGGGGAGGTGGTGGAGGTTGGTTTGTTCGTGGTGGTGATGGTTGTTGTAGTTGTTGTTGTTGTTGTTGTTGTTGGATTGATCTTGTTTTCATACTTTTTCCACACTTCTCCAGCATTGCCACATGTTAGTTTGAGCTGCTGATCATCTTGTTTTGCTGTAAAATGTACTGATTTTAAGTCAAATAAGATGAAATCTAATAAAATCAATTTCCAATTACAAATAAAGGCAATTATAATATTCTTGTATTTACGCTAGTACTTTCTCATGTACAATGTAGATACATACTATTTTATATACTATATATTATTTCATACCTTGAGCTGTTATGTAGTACTTGTATCGTGTAGATTCCTCTCGATGCTCCAAAGTGATGAGAATTAAAGATTCCTCACTCTTAGATAATAATGTCCCATTCTGGAATTCCGCAAGTTTTGACATATCGGACATCAATGCAGAGTATTTAGTTGTTCCATTTTCAGCTATGGCAAAGTTATTTGTTCTTTTATCTTCTTCAGCTGTTAAACTGTAGATTTGTATTGTGTCCTGGGGTGGTGCTTCAATTATACAGCTGCAAGACCCCTTGATTGCTGTGTCAAAATTGGGGAAAGCATTGTTCTTCAGATGTATAGCTTGTAGTTCTTTATTAGAAATTTCATCACACAGCGAATGTTTACTTTGTTCTATAAAAAAGAGCACTCATCCATGATCCATGTATGATTTATATTTGACATGTAAGATTTATTTATGAGTTAGATTCAATGTTCTTTTATATCTTAATTTCTGTGCTCATTGTTTTGATAAAACATGAGTGTTTAATTCTCCAAAGGTCCATATGCAGTATGGCAAGTGATTTTAGATGGTCATATCTTTTACCATGAGTACTTTCTGGGCATAAATACAGTGGTTTTTATAAAAACAATATGTTTTCTTTCAAGTGAAGTCCCCATGATGATAAAAACATCAATCAAACAATTCAAAAAATTATAAAAAGGGACCCCACGTCAACAATTTTTTCAAAATGTTGAACTTATTTGCTCAAAAGTGGATCTTCTTTTTATGATTTTATTGCATGAAAACATTATTTAACAAGGGGTCTAAAACTTCTTCAAAAGTAGAATGGTATTGAAAGTTTAGTTTTGAAGACCAAAATCATGCTGAAAACAATGGATAGCACGAGTTTTCCCTATGTGAAAATAACATGGGATATGTGGTTTTTAACTTTAACGAATTTCAATACCCATCCCCTTTTCAGAAATTGTTAAGATAGTGTAGAAGAAACTTTTGGTATGTTTAAATTGAGAAAAACAAGATCCTCTTTTGAGAATATAAGCCAAACAATTTTAAAAAAGTGCCAAGGTGGTTTCCTAAACCATAATTTTTCAGATAATTGGATTGATATTTTGGTAGTATGGTGACTTCAATTGAAAGAGAACATATTGTCTTAATAAAAATGGCTGCATTTGTGGCCAGAAAGTACTTGTGGTAAAAGATATCACTGTCTTAAATCACTTGCCATACTGAACATGCACCTTTAGGCCAAATTATAACCTACAACTTGACTTATTAGTAGGTTTAAATCAAGAAAACAATTGATCCTACCAAACTTGAACAGAGGCAGTTCCTCCAATTTGTTACATTCCTACATTTTGAAACAGTGATGTTTTTAGAGATATTTTGGATTTTGTCATATTTCTCATAGTAACTTTGGAATTTTCAGACTAAACATTTCAAAATTTGAAAATGGTTAGAGGTTTAAGATTAGGTTGTATGAAATTGCTCTAGTGATTGAAATATCATGAGGACTGAAAGAATGATTGAAAAATTCCATCTCCCGAGCAACTCTTCAATTAAGATCATTTTCACATGGAAAACATGGTATGGTATATATGAATTACCTGGTATACACTTATAATCCATATAGATGTACTTTCTCCCTTTGCAACCACCATTTATAATTATGTCAGTGGGTTTAGGTAAGGTGAATCTCTGATCTTCATAATCATACAAGTTTTCAGGTATGCCAGTTCTGCAGTGATCATCCTCATCAAAATGACACTCAGATTCATTAGCGCTCTCATTTGTCTTATATTGTCCATAAAATGCTATGTTGATATATGTCATGTTCCCATGACCACATATTGATAATGTTCTCTCTGTTTTGTTTGGTTGAAGAAAAATACATCTCTTTTTATCTATTTCTTCCCTTGAGTCTTCATCAGATCTTGACAACTTTGTCTGCATCATCAAAAGGCAAACATATTGTAGGAGGCCTCCAAAGTTAACCATGTTGAAATACATTTTTGCTCGCAGAAGTCCTTAAAAACTTTGAACTTTGAACTATTTTGTCCTCGTCTAATAATACTGCTCCTTGAGTTAATAAGAGGATTATTTCTATTATACTACAACTGTATCATTAGTTTAATTAGTCCTCGAGGTTTTTATTAATAAGACTTTTGATACTTGATGTCATACTTTTTTATATGCCTTTTGTTGTCAGTGTTTGTCATGTATTCTCTTTGTATATAATTTTTTGCTAAAATAATATTATGATGTTTCTTCTACATGCACTAGTGTGTAGTTGTTTGGTATTGGTGGAGACTAATTCTGATTAATAATCCTCCTTAATCTTGTGTCATCACATTCACGTACATTCATGTCAGTTTGCTTTTAAAGTGTTTTACCTTTACTTTGCCTTTATAATCTTTACTATGATCAACTAATTCTCTGTTCTGGATCACTAATCCATTTGAAAACCTCTAGTTTCAAACCAGGAAGTTTGGTGATTAAATGTTGAGTCGTGTTTAAATGTACATAGACCCAACACTTAATGTTCAGCATTTTGATGTTTTGTGTGTATAAATGAAGTTCAATAGCTTTTTGTGTTTTATTTAGCAGCTTTATTGAATAGATTTCATCTATATGTATTGTAAAAATAAACATCCCTGTTGAATGGCTTTTTGGATTCTATATCTAAGAATACTTCAAGGATTGTTTGATTATAAATTCATGATATACACAGTAAAACCTGTGTATAGTGAACATCTTTTTGCAGAGAAAAAATGTTCACTGTTGGTAGGTGTTCACTACAGCAAGGATTGGATTTTGCAGCATTTCGCTGTGTTATATAAAGAGACCAGTTATTGAACAAGGCTAAACAAGAGGAGGGAATAATCAATTTAATTTGTATTTTCTACCCAAGATAACCCATGACACTCTAGTGAAAGGTTTTTTTTTGTTTTGTTGGAGTGATATTTGAACATGACCAGCATACATAATGAACCTGTATGTGTTTGATCAAAACACATGGTTTACTCAACAATGAATTAATCTTTTCCCTAAAACCTCTATGATTATATTTCCAGCACAATCTCAATCCACAACCAATCAGGAAGAATTTTACAGATCCCAATGATAAACTAATCTTGGAAGATGAGCTTCAGAGGATCATACTGAGTGGGGAGATAGATGTTCAGTCAGGGGTTACAGGTAAGATAATATTACATCTACAATCAGGGGTCACATGTACATTCAGAGGTCATTAAAAAAAACATGTAAAAAACTGTTATTATTAAACTCTTATTTGACCATGACCAGGCCCATAGCCAGGGGATTCGCAGGGTTCGGCGAACCCCCCTGGCCAAAAATTCTTTCAAAATCATGCAGTTTTTCACCATTTTGAGCACTTCTGAATGTAGCCATATTTTGGCCAAAATTGTCAAATGTGAACCCCCTCTGGAAATTTTTGAAAACTGAACCCCCCTTGGCAAATCCTGGCTACGGGCCTGATGACTTTATATTATATTACAGGTGTTGTTGTGGCTGTATATGGAAAGGAGCCTGAAGACCAACCTGGAACTTTCCATGTAGAGGACTACTGTCACAGAGCCCTTCCACCCCAGAACCCCCGACCATCTCTTTCACAGGACAAGTAAGCGCATTGAGTAAATACCACAGCCTTGATCAGTTGTATTGGTGAAATTCGTAGCTTTAAAGTATATGATTCTCAAAAGTAATATTTTCTGCCAATTGATATTAATGTCAAGGTCACAGTTGTATGGAATCACATTTTAAAAAATAAAATCTGGTAAATAGTCTCCAGAGATTACTTGGCTGACATGTTGTACTTCATGAATGTTTCATCCAAAAATTTCTTCAAGTTCAATCTATTCATAATATATACGTGATAATATATTCAGGAAGTAAAATCAAAATATTCGATTCTCATAATCCAGAATTAGGAATACAATAGTAAAGAAATTGGCTTAAACTCAAATTCTGAATACTAAGAATTTGAAAAAGACATAATGACCTGTGTGTTACAATGCACCATTAATAGACTTGGATAAAACTATCTATAAATATTGCTCACTTAAAGCAACTGAATAAAGGGGTGTATACACTGGTAGGTGAAATGCTTGAAACAGGGGGTGTAAACTGTAAAGGCAGAAATGCTTGAAATGAAATGCGAAATGCTTGAAAAGAAAAACGTGCATGTTCGTTTTTCTTTTCAAGCGTTTTGCCCGTTTCTTCATGAATTGGTCGTATATTTGAAATGCTTGAATGATGCAAGCATTGAAACCATTGAAATGATTGAAACGCTATTTACAGTGTATACAGGGCTTAAGTTCCAAAAGCAAAATTCATTATGGATCCCTAGAATTTCCTAAACGCGATTGATTTTAGGGCAATCTTTTCCACTTTGACACTCATGCAAAAGTTTGTACCTCCTAATTATTCAAGTGACGGTTGTTAGTCTCTTCCGATTTTCTAATTCAACCTAACTGACATTGAATATGAAGACATATTGAAAATGTAATTGAATTTGTGCACAGCTGAATATTCATTTTCTATTATCTTTAGAACATTCATTCAATGCTGATATTAATGCCTCGCCTGTGTAGATTTATTTGAACAATGTTGAGAAAATGACACACCATGAACATTTTAATTGTATTCAAGCATAGTTAGACTTCCATTAATTCAAAAAATGGCATGCATTGCAACAAAACATAATTTGGTCATATCTGATTGAAATTAATTTTCAGTAAAAGTGTTTGTATCAATGATAGATGTCACTGTGGTGAAGCTATTTTAAGTCCATTGCATCATTGATGAGTCATTAGTTGCAGAATCACCAGTTTTAAAATATAAACACAACACAAAATAATTCCAATATGACATGGATTTATACTACATGATTTGGATTATTTTAGAGAGATACGTATCAATTATTGGAATATACACCTATACAATATTGTAGATGTAATACAGAGAGCCTATTACTGTAATGTACAGTGATGTGGTCTCTGTGATGAGATAGCTTACATATTGTATTGTTTTAAAGCAGTGTTCTTAAGTATGTGTGATAAGCGCTTATCATGTAAGAATGCATTGGAGTTATTATATGCACGGAAGGTGGATGCTGGAATTTTATTTCAAAATGGATAAATTAAGAGCTGCAAATTATGGAATAATATTATAGTGAATTATACATGTATACATCTGGTGATATTAATTAACATTATGGACAGCCTACGTAAGGTTAGTTTATAAATAAAATGGGGGAGATTACAATGGTTCAAATTACCATATTATAATAATTTTTTATATCTGAGGAATGTTGCTTGATTGTACAAGTTACGTAGTATGGAGTATTTAATGATTTGTAAAAACATATGGTGAACAATAATACAAAGCACCACGTGATTCATTTTTCTTTATTATGCTAAATAGATTCCATTTTGACATATAGATGGCACTTGAATCAATATTGTGCAATTCAGCCAAGATATGAGAAAATAAAAACTGTGGCAAGATATAGATGGAAGCACGATTTGTTTTACCTGTTGATTTAAAAAAGCTCGTCTGGATTAATTTTCATTACATCAATTTCAATATTACATTCATTGTATTTAATTTGAATGTTAGAATACCGATGGCCAAGATATCAGTATTGATAAAAAAAATTAGGGCATTTGTCAACATCAGTCTGAAATGTCTAATTTTAGATTTACTTTATCTATTTTTCTCTCCGACATTGCTTTTTATAAGGAAAAGTACTACCTCAAAGACCTCCTATTGATGAGCTATTAACCTAAAATCATGGCCCGATGATAATGTCAGTCAATGGAACATTTACTGGGAATAAATATCCCCTTTTTGTCAAAATCCCAGAGTAAACCTCCCTTAATGACAATGCTTATCAGGGCACATTAATATTTTGATATATCAATCTAAAATATCTTATATATGTGTAAAAACAGAAGCCATATAAGCAAAATCTTTATTAATAACAAAATTTGACATCTTGGTTGATCCGTGATATTCTGTTACACTGTCACTTTCACTGCTTACTCAATATTTAATGCAACATTTTTGATTGTCTGTTATTCTGCCCCTCCTTTCCACATCATAATCCAAAAAGTTATAACCCTTCGCTTGACATTGAAGATTAGAGATCATTTCTTGATTTAATCTTCATCAAATCATAATGTTGTTAAGAAATCATGACATGTTCTGCCCTAATGGTTCACATTCAAACTCCCATAAGGGCCACTACACTGAGGTTGAGATTATTAAGATCTTATAAGCATTAAAATGTGAAATCAAGTATAACAGTCGGAGGTTAGTTTTACTATTCAATTAGAATTCAAAATGACTTTATTCATTTTGTATTTTCAGATATATCGCCATAGTATCTGGCTTGGATATCGGCAGCAAAAATGAAAACCCGTTAAATCAGCAGCTTTTAGTAGACCTTCTTACTGGTCAATTGGGCGATGAATGCCAACAAGAGGCTGCCTCTAATATTTTGCGGGTCGTGGTTGCGGGAAACTCACTCAGCTCTGAAACTCAGGACAAAGATTCTTTAACTAAGGTAAATAAATACCCCATTCATGTTTCAACCATTGTTCACTTGCTCATTTTCTGGTAATATATGCTTTCACATTAAATTATATGTTTTCTGCCTGCTATTATGCCACTGCCACCATTTATAATGTTATTTTAGGTCATTGTGACCACTTAATTTGTACCCTCAGCTCTGGTTTTCCTTCCATTACCTATATATTTCCCGTCATTGCATTTAATCTACCAAGTTGCTCGCTTTCCAGACCAAGGCACAGTAGCTCCCTCTATTTTGATTTAAACTCTTTTGCCCAAATCTTACAGCCAAAAAAAGCTTTGGGCCCATTCCCAAATAATTAAAAGTAGGTTTGAATGAGCAGTATAGTTTCAATGAATAAATGAGATTTCCCCAAAACTTTTAGAATTTTGTTTTCCTTCAAAGTTTCCATACCATTTATCTTTAAAAACCTGATGGACACCATGCTACCCTGTGATAAATGACTGTAACATTAAGACCAATGCTACAGGTTGTTATTTCACAATTAAACTTAAGTTATGCGAAGTCTTTATTAGTTAGAACATATAAAGACTTTATTGATTAAGCAACTCATTAAAACTGAGCAGGTAAATATCAAAACCTCAGCAACATAATACTATGTTAAATAATATGTTAGATTTTTGTGCTCCTTATAAATAATCACATATATAAAAATTACAATAAGTCTGATCATTTTTACAATGTTTTGCTTAACAATTCCTGGTTTTAGATTGATACTTTTAAAGTACATGTAGTGTCCATTTAAAGTGTCAAATAGATGAATACTATTTTCATTTTACAAAGTGGCTGTTGATGCTAGTCATTTTAAAAGTGATAGATGTCTGCCTGGAGTTTGATGACCTTAAGCTCCCTACAGTTGATGGATTGACAAGTTTGTTTACTGAACATGGCAATAAAACATAAATCACTTGCCCTGAAATGGAGATTGGATGATGTCTAGAGTCATGTGTTCGGAGGATGCCTGGGCATTGTCCTGGGAACAACGCTGGGGGAGGTCAAAATTAAGGACAATTAGTGATGAATATCTACACATAGCAATCAAATGAGCAAGCCACAAAAACCAAAAGAATTGTGATGAATGATTGCATTAAGTTGTTTAGATTTTGATATTTACCTGCTCAGTTTTCATGAGTTGATTAATCAATAAAGTTTCTTTGTTTTATTTGTACACTTCCTGCATCATTTTATCAGTTTACTTTTATAACACAAGATCTGAATGGTAAGTAATAGTAATGCTGAACTGTACTAGTACGCCACCTGGTGATAAATATTAACAGCTAATTCAGTAAATTACAAAAAAATATTTCACCATCAACATTATTCATCTTTATAATGTAAATATAAGCCATTTATGATTAAAACAATACATGCATCAATAAACTGTTATTTAGACATTAATATCCGTCATATTCGGGGGATAATTTGTTTTTCAAAAATGTCTAATAAAGAACAAGGATGGTTTGAGATTATTAACATTGATTTTGTGTGGGCGCATATACCACGCCTGCATTAAATGTGCGTATAGAAAAATAATTGTCTATCAAAACCTGACTGTGCATATAATAGGCGAATATATACATATAGATGAATGAATGAATGAAAACAGTAGATTAATATACAACGCTGAAGTAATTATAATATATCATTTATGTAAGTTGTGGCAGAATATAGCTTTTAAATAGAATATGAATCAAATTGATAGGGGCACCTGTTGAGTTCTCATACTATTGAACATATCATATAATGTTGCAATATATTGGTGAATACTTTCCTTAATATAGACGATTTACAGAATTAATGAAGGGATCACCCCAGTATTAAAGCAATGAAATAAATACACCCATAATTTTAAAAGTACATGTCTATTGAATATACTGGAAATCCATTTGTATCCATGAATCAATTGAGGTACTTTGTTCAGATCTCAAATTGTGCATCTCATTAATGAAAAATATGTAACTTGTGTTGAACACTTTCTTTCATACAATATTTGTATCTATCTAGTATATCCACAAATGTGACTAAGGTGGGACCATTTGACTGATCCTTGGCAACTGTTCTTATATATACCAGCTTTGTGTAAAAGGTCTGCTGAGGTAATCACCCAGATTCTTTCTACACATCCTACCTTAAGTCAAATGTTTGGGTCTCCTAAAATCTTTCTAAGAGATTTGTTTGTGTATCATCGGGTCTTGTACCTATTCCTATCTGGAGAGGATTATCTTCCTGCCACATTTTTGATGTTATTACTGTCTTTTTAATCTAGTTTCATGTTTCCCAATTTTTTAAAAAAAAATTTCAAGTATATTTAGTATCATTTAGGTTTACATTGCAACTCTTCTTCCAATGGTCATGAAATATAGTAGGCTGCTTGGAAATTAAATAATGTACAAATGTGTAAAATATCAGGGAGTTATTTCTTAAAGTGACAAAGATATGAGGAAAATAGTGTAAGGATTTCCATTTTTTGACCACCCTGTAGATGCCATGGTATTATTTTAGGTTAGATTTTGTGATTCAAGCTGCATATTATCCAATGCAAGCTCAGGTCTTAGCATCACAATAAACCATGACAACTCAATAACCTTTCCAGTAAGATGTGATGAGAATCAGAATGACAATATTACAGTATTTGTAAATAATGATACAATTTAGTTCTTGTTCCTTATATTCTTATAGTTTACTGTTATGATATGCTCAAGGTTATTTAACCATTATAATATACATATACATATAACATGATATTATTGTCCTTAATGGCACGCACATAAAATGATTTTAAAACAAGAGCAAATATGAATGCTTTCTAGTTTATCGAGATAAAGACTACTGGGTAAAATCACTTATTTAAAATAAAGTAGAGACACCTATCAATGACTTTGCAAACTATTTAAAGGCCCATGTTAGCATTATGTATCAATTATTACTTTTGATAAACCATTATTATAGAAGTACCTTGTATTTACTACATTATGAATTACTTATGAGTTAAAAGTTAAAATTTGAATATGAATGTGAATATTTCTTTTTATACTTTATAATATTATTGTTCTATTGGTGACATTGAAGACTTGACCTTCCCTGTCCTTGATAGAGCATTGAAATTTGATATGTTACAATGTTTCTGTATGTGGACACATAAATGTGTATTTGCCTCTTATTAATCTAGTACTATTTTATTAAGATGATATATTCATTACTATATAAATCATTCTTATTTATTTACATTCTTTAGTACAAAAAAAACATGGTTGGTGTTGCAAATATATTTCAATTAAATCATTTGTAATGTCGTTTGAATGTCATCTCTAGATAGATTTTATTTTAAACAACATGCGCTGAAATGAATAAATAGAGTTAATCTGGTGAATGATCCTATTCCTGAGAATCAATGCGATCACCTTGTTCCTGAACGTTTTTTATGCCTGCTTAAAGCTGTTCATTTTTGTATGCTTTATTACAAAAACACACAAATAATGTGCAATCATGGAAAGCAAATATATGAAACCAAACTAATTTTCCCTTTATACAAAACCGAATGGACAGACAGAGGTATTACCAATTAATTAGAAAGTTGACATCAATGATTTGAGTTATCAAAATTCATGTGTTAACATTGACATCTTCGACTTCGATTTTCGATCCAAAATCAATTTAATTAACCCATGTTATTGTGAAAATAATAATTGTAACCCTCTATTTTTATTAATAACTTTATCCATATAATATCTATATAATGTGTTTAATTTGGGAAACAATGTATTTACATTACTTTATTTTGGAATTTAGAGAAATCATGTTTTCCATCTTGGCTTGCTCTTATGCTAGAAAGATTTATTCCTATACTTTAACTTCCAAAATTGGTGATTGTACTCTTCTTAGTGTCTGTTGTGTCATTCATTACTTTAGATTGCTCTAGCTCCAGAAATATACAATGGATAATACTCAGTAATGAATACTGCAAAATGTCAGTGAACAAAAACCATTAAATCAACTTTATCATTTAGATATGGATTTACCTATGGCATTTATTATATACTATTACTCCCATCTTATTATATCATGTCACACTAATTTCCTCCCACAAATCTTTTCTTGAGTTTAGCTCAGACTTGGGGGAGCGTTATACGTCTTGAGGTTAATATGCTTTTAAGTAATTTTAGATGTGTCCTAAAATATTAAGTCTGGGGACCAATCAGATTACAGTATTTATAATACCATAAGCATATCACCAAGGAGATAAATATTTTATTTTGGAATTACTTTCTATTATTACAGGGTGGCCCAATGCAAAAAGTAATACCCGAATTGAAATTGAGATTAAATTTTACTTATTTCACATTATGCAGTAAATGATACATCATAATGAAGACAATTCAGTTCCCCATAATTTGATCTATACACATCATTCCATTACACCTAAAGAAATAACTGAATATTTCTTATGATACAGGGTGTCAAATAAGTCCCATCCCCCTCCCCTTCCAGCCAATACCAAAACCAAAATATATGTAACCAAGTATGATATGTCATTGGAGAGATAATCCAAAGTATCATTAATAGGCATATATCTGATACCTTTTTATTTCTTTTTTTTAATTTGGATATTATTTTTGGCCCACCCTGTATATTGATGTTATATGCCATTTTGAAGCTTATCCTCGATGTAATGCGTACGCCACTTTAATACTATTAAAATATGACTCTTGATCCAGGTGAATGAGGCATTAAGTACATCGAGATCAAAGAAGATTAGCTTCTATGATTCCTTAGATAAATATATTAGAGGTTTTTCTATCACTTTTTATTTATTATTTTTCAATATAAAAGTCAGAATTATATTAAAAATACCAAACACATTTTTGAAATACATTTTTTATATCCTTATGGCGGATTAGAGGCTTGTTCAATTCCTCAATTATATTTGGTAGCTGATATAATAGAAGGTTTCACTTAGTGATTTCAGTTGCTGT